TGATCACCTCCCGCTCCGTCACTAAACGGGGATTGATCTTCAGCCACCGCTACAGCCACCAGATACTACGCTTACCCGACATGAAGTAGTTGTGGACATCTTCCTTGGACATCTTGTTGCTGGCCCCCAAAGAGGCGGCTGCCTTGCGCAGCAGCTTCTGCATTTTGTTGAGGGTGTCCCACCAAACGGCCTGATCCTCCGCCTGGAGCTTGGGCACGCGCTGAGGTTTGCGTTCGTACTTTGGTAAGTCGTTCCTAAGCCGAAAGAATGTATTGCTGCTCACCTTATTGTTGAAATTGATGAGTATCGATGAAATTGGCTGCAGCACGGAGATTGGGGGCACCGCATTGCTGTCCTTCTTGTACCACAGATCAAGCAGGGCCCGGTCCACGCCCATCGAGGTCAGCTCTTCGCTGATCAGCGCCAGCTCAGAGGACACTATGTACGTGGGTATGGGTCGGTAGCCGTACTTCTGGCCCAGAAACACAATGAAGTTCGGGCCCATCGACAGCCGCTGACAGTTCTTGATCTCGCGCATGCACAGCTCTGTGGTCATGTGATCGTCGGTGGCCTCGTCGCGCACACCCCATCGCATGTCCACCACTTGAAACTCCAGGCCGTGCTTCTCGCGACAATAGTCCTTGATCCTGGGATAGCACTTGGCCATCAGCGTGTTCCTTTCCATGGTGGTGTCTGATGGTGAAAATCATCCGCAAATTACGTAACTATTCTGTACACTTTCCCACATGGGTCGCACCCCCCCCCGCCCTCACGGAACATTAGTGATTGATTTGTTGACCCACCCGTGAACGTGGAGCTCGTGAAGATGCGCACAATCTTGGAGCTAACCGGTGGCAGGGCCTCCAGGGAGCCCAGAAAGATCGAGTCAATGGTGCGGTCATCCATGGCCACCTAATGCTAGTGTGTCTTTTGCTGGTTTGGTTTGGTTGCTGCTCGAGCAGCTTCTTTTCTAGGACGTTCCGCAGCCGTTGAAATCCAATATGTGTCTGCGCCAAAAACGGAGACCCAGAAAGTGGCGTAAAGTTCGCTGCTGTTTGGTCGATAATCGCCGGATACGTGCGGCACATTTGACAGTCGCCTAGTTGACGGTTGTTTTTGAGTTCAGCAGAAGCTCCACTGACGTGGCATATCAGAACACCTTCATGGGGAAGGGAAGGGGACTCCCCAGGAGGAAGCACTCTCCGGGCAGCTCTAGTACCGCACCTGTTGCCCAACCTGATTGAAAAGCCATAGCCATAGCGTTGCTTTATGGGATGTCAGCTGCCTGATTGATGTCTGAGACCCGCTTTGACATACAAACAGGTGTTTTCAAGTGCTCAGGACCTGCCTCGGCCCCGTGGCAGACATTTCACTTGCGTGCTTGCCTCACATTCGTGTCCAATCCCCAATCTCCGTTGCAGGCGTAGGCGTTGGATTGCGGCAGTTTTCAAAGTCGTCGACTTTGGATGGCAAACGGTGCCACTTAATGGGTTCGGATTGGAGTGGGTGGGGCCCCTATTTGGGAGTAAGAGCCTCCTTACACAGTTGACCTCGACCTAGGCACGTGCGTGTTTACTCAAAAAAATTAAGAAAGACGGAAATAAATGGGCTTGCTCTACTTTAAAGTAGAGAAGAAAGGCAGTGCTTGTTTTCGATGTGGAAATGGTCAAGATGGGACGATCACAGAAAACTTTCGAATGTTTGTTAAATTCCTTAATTATTTAAAACGTTAAACGTTTTAAATTAAACGTTTCAACGTTAAATTTACGGGTCCACAAGAAAGTCTGTTGGGAGCCAACAGCGTCTCCTCTGTCTGGAAGAGTATGTCAGTCAGCTCACCCAGACGTTCGTACAGGGAGCGGCCGGTGATCTGATTCGAGATGACCTTCAACCAGGAGGAGATTCGCAGGGGCAAGGGCGTCAGCTGGAATATATCAGCCATATACTGGCAGCGGATAACCTCGCGTTCACCCCCAGCAGCTTCTTCTCCAGTTTGGGGCGAGCGAGTTTACACAACAAAATGAAGAAAGACAGGCACAATTGGGTATGCTATACATTGAAGTAATTGGAGATAAATTCATTAATTCGAGAACCTTGGCAGAATCGGCAGTAAGCCTATGACACGGGCGAAAGTCGGCGAGGATTCACAAGTCCCGGGGGCTTCATCGATGATCGCGCACTCGATCGACACTGTTCCTGCGCTAATTCTCTTCACTTCCTCCTCGTTCTCTTCGATCATCCTTTGATGACGGATCTCTCCGTCCTCGTCCAGATTCCTGCGGAATCTTCTACGGATCTCGTTCATGGTTGCATTCAGCAGGGAGGTGTTCCAGGCCTCCGCATCCCTCAGACAGTGGCTCCACGCCCGTTTATCCTCGTATCGCAGATCACACGCTGGGCTTCAGCTTCGAGACGTAAGTGCATCAGTATTTGATTATGGATACATTTTGAAATTTATCTTCTTTCACAGATAACTTATGTAACCTACGCTTTGCCAAAAAACCAAGTCGGAAGGGGCTACGCGAGCTAGATAGATAGATCTCGTTGTTGTTAGATTTAAGGATATATAAGGATTTAGATTTAGATAGTAAATACAAATGTTTTCCAATTGTGTCTTTACTTATACTAAGCTAAATTTTGATGAATAAAAATATTAAGAAATCATCCTTGAAGTGTCCTGTATCAACGAAATTATCCTGATTACAAAAAGGCGTGGCACGCCCAGATTGGTTCACAAATAGCGGAGAAAATTATATATTTTTGATTGGGGAAAATGTCCTTGATCCTTGCAAAGGACTCCATCGAAGCAAGGACATTTTTCCGATCACAGGAAGCCATCGCACACCCAGATCGGCCTTCAAAAAGCCGAGAAAACTGAATATGTATGCTTGGGGGTGTTGGAGTCCTTGGCAAAGGATCAAGGACATTTTTCTTATCACGGCGGGCCATGGCACGACCCGATCAGGCCGTAAATAAGAGAGAAAACAAGATATATATGCCTGTAGAAAATATCCTTGATCCTTGGTCCTCGATAAGGACTCCATCAAGTCAGGGACATTTTTCCGAACACAGGAAGACATCACACGTCCCGATCGGCAATCAAATAACGGAGGAAAAAAACTGGCTTGTAATTGTTTGAGAAAATGTAGTTCATGGAATCGCCAATAGAGGCGCCACCGTACAAAGCAAAAAACCTCGCGTCAAATGGCTAAAATACCAGGCGAACAGAAATCAGCAGCAAGCAACTGAAGAAAATGCAAAAAATGTTGTTGCCTACTTTAGGGGGAACGCAAATTTTTTTAAAAATCAGTTACCTTCTGCTGACTTCTGTTCGCCTGGTATTTTAGCCATTTGACGCGAGGTTTTTTCTTTGTACGGTGGCGCCTCTATCGGCGATTTCATGAACTACATTTTCTCAAAAAAGTCAGTTTTTTTTCTCCGTTATTTGAGACCCGATCGGGACGTGCGACGTCTTCCTGTGTTCGGAAAAATGTCCCTGACTTGATGGAGTCCTTATCGAGGACCAAGGATCAAGGATATTTTCTACAGGCATATATATCTTGTTTTCTCCCTTATTTGAAATACGATCGGGACGTGCGACGGCTTCCTGTATTCGGAATAACGTCCTTGATCAGTTGGAGTCCTTATCACGGACCAACGATCAAGGATATTTTCTCCAGACGTATATATCCTATTTCTCCCTTATTTACGGCCTGATCGGGTCGTGCAAAGGCCCGCCGTGATAAGAAAAATGTCCTTGATCCTTTACCAAGGACTCCAACAACCCCAAGCATACATATTCAGTTATCTCGGCTTTTTGAAGGCCGATCTGGGTGTGCGATGGCTTCCTGTGATCGGAAAAATGTCCTTGCTTCGATGGAGTCCTTTGCAAGGATCAAGGACATTTTCCCCAATCAAAAATATAATTTTCTCCGCTATTAGTGAACATATCTGGGCGTGCCACACCTTTTTGTAATCAGGGTAATTTCGTTGATACAAAACACAGCAGGATGATTTCTTAGTAGTTTTATTCATCAAAATTTAGCTTAGTATAAGTAAAGCCCAGCATTTGATTCCGCGTCGTATGAATGGGGGGTTGCTGACATTATTTCCCGGCTCCCAGTCGAACATTAGTCCCTGCTGCAGTGGTTGTGACGCCACATTGTCGACTTAGCGCCAGTCTAGCGCCGGTCTGGAGTGGCGAAGAAAACAGTGTGGGACGCAAGGAATAGGGCCATTGCAGTGGCCGGACCCAAAGCTCGCCCAGCCCAAAGGCCACAGCTCGAGGAATCGTGGCCCCGTGCGCAGGAGACGGCGGGGAGCTAGCGATGTCAGCCGGTCAGGCGCCTGGAGTGGACAGCCGTCATCATATAGTACACAGAGACACACAGCTTTTGTTTGAGTTTTATAACAATATATTTATTTGTTTTGTTAGTTCTTAATACGGGGGTTTTCATGAATCTTTTCCGTTGAATATCATATAATTATGACGATGAAGATGATTTTCTGCAAAAATTTCGTATTCCAATATATAGTTTTTTATGTTTAGTTTTTCTTTCTTTAGTTATGAATGATAGTGAGTGCGTTGAATAAAGCTAATGAATGAATGAATGCATGGTTATGCAGAGATGATTTCGTATAAGAATAGGAGATGTTTCTCTATGCGATTTAGTTCGATAAAAGATTCAAGTTAATTCTGGATTTTGCATACACTTGCCTATGATTTTGAAACGCGTTTAACTAATTTCATTTAAGTTAAGTTGGCTATAGGATAGGTGGACTATATTCTATATAGGCTATAGGGTTAGTATCCATTTTTGTTTCATTCTTTCTTTTTTCGTTTTTCCTTGCTTTGAGAGATAAAAACATTGTTAATCACTTGGTTTTGGTTTTAGGGACTGTCGCGCAAATTAAATTAACTACGATTGGGTTGGGTTGGTTCGGTTCTCATACGTCTTACTGGTCATACTCGGGTCGGGTATCATATATCATATTATAGGTATTGTATATCATGTAGCTATATTTCGATAATAAATAGTTAAACATATTGAACTAAACAGTAATCAAATAGTAATCATAAACAACTAATAAATAATCAAAAAAATTAAAATACAAATTACAAACTACAGCCACGAGAGCCACAAACAAGGGCGAAGGGTTCATCTACGGCTTCTGGCCATTCTGTTGAACATCCACCGGTCTTAGAGTCATCGTCGTCGGTGTGGATGTTGCCTTTGGCCTCCAGATGGTTGTAGCTGCTGCCGCTGTTGTTGCTGTTGCAGTTGCTTCTGCTAATTTTGTGTCCGGTTTGGTGGCCGGTATGGCTTTGGCCGCCAGTGCCATTTTATGAATGTGTGGCGACGACGGCGACGTCACTGTTATTCTACAATAAGAAAAAGCTAATGGTTTACACGCACACACACGCGGAGGACGGGCGACGGGTCGGATTAGAGCAGGGCGGCAGGAGCGGAGCGGAGTGTGGAGTTTAGGGCGGGCGGGATTTGTTGCATTAACGCATTATTTACACGCATCGTTTGTTGTTTTTTGGGATGTTTGGTTTTTACGAGTTTGTTTTTTCGGTTTTAATGGCAGGAGTCGTTGCAGGAGCAGGAGCAGGAGCGTTGGCAGCGGCGTTTTGGTTGTCGGTTGTTGGTTTTTTTTGTGGGTCATTTGTGGAGGTGGATGTTGGCGGAGCGGAGCGAATGGTTTGCATGTATGATTTAATTATTTAAATTAGAAAAGCCGGCAATAGCAAACAGACCTTACAGACTATCTAACTAGCGATATGGGCATAGTATTAAGCTATCGAGCGAGCGAGCGACAGACAGATATAGAGATGGCATGGGATATAGATGGTTCGTGGTGAGTGTGAGAGAGAGAGAGCTACGTGGCGGTGGTGGTGATGTGCTTAATGCTTGTGCTGCTGCTGCTGTCTGCTGCTGTTCGAGTTGACTTCGTTGTCAGCGTACCTAGGGCTGTTGTCGTCCTTTTCGCAGACCAAGGTCCTTGTGTGGCTGGGCCCCACAAGGCTACCGCCGTTTAAGGACTGCTGCGAGCTGCGCTTCACATGCACCGGTCGCAGTCGGTCCTCCAGGTCGCTGATGGAGCCCACCGAACTGATGCTCTCATCGCTGCAATTGCACAGAACATATTAATTATCAGAAAAAAACATATCCCCGCGTGTTCCTACCTCTCGCTTAGCTCTTCCTCGCCCTCTTCCTCCATGGCCTGCTGCAGATCCGCTATCCGTTGCAGGGCCAGGCGCAGATCGTTCTTTAGGGCCGCTCCCTCCGACTCCATTTGCTCCATTTTCTTCTCGAGATCCTTGCGACGCGTCAGCGACTCCTGCTCGCGACTCGAGACCGTGTGATACTCCTCGCGCATGTCGCGCAGACTCTTCTGCGACTTCTTGAGCATTTCTTGGGCTTGCATTTCGCGCATTTTCGACTGGGTGACCTCGTTCTGCAGCTTCTCCAGGGCCTCCTTGTGACGGTTCACCTGCACCTCGAGGCGGGCACGCGTTGCCTGCTCCAGCTCGAGGCGGGACTCCAGCTCCTTGGTGCGCAGCTCCAAGCTACAACAGAACAGAACAGAATGAGATAGTGACATTCCTCGAATAGATATATGTTTGGTACTCCTCTACTTACCGCTTGGACATCATGGCCATGGAGGGATCACCCAGGTTCTCTACATTATCCAGCCTGTGCTGGAGCTCTCCCACCTGCTCCTTCAGATTGTTGCGCTCGGCCTCCATTTCGTTGAGCTTGAACTCCGCCTCGGACACATTGATCTGCTCGGAATTCAGCTGCTTCACCGTGGCACTGTACTTCTTCATCAGTTCGCTCAGCTCCTCCTCGTTCTCCTCGATCTGGGCCTGCAGCTCGGCCCGATCGCGATGCGCCACGTTGGCTCGCTCCTCGGCATCGTTGCGCGCCCGATGAGACTCCTCGAACATGGCCTGCACTTCCGTCAGCTCGGCCTCGGCCGTCTGGCGTGCCTTCATGGCCAGGCTGCGGGCGGACTCGGCATCCTCCAGCTGATTGCGCAGCTGTCGAATCAGCGTCTTGCCGGGCGTGTCCGCTTTGAGTCGCTCCAACTGCGTCTGGGCATCCTTCAGCAGGGCCTTGTATTTGCGCAGGTCGCGGCGCAGCTTCTGGTTGAGCGCCTCCTCGGCATCTCGATCCACACGGTCGCGGTCCTCCATGGAGGAGAGACGCCGCTCCAGCTCGTGCTTCTCGCGCAACAGCAGCGTGCGCTCCTCGTGTTCCGTTTCCAGCTGGCACTCCAGCGCCTTTATCTTCTTGTAGCCATTGCCGCGCACCTCCTCCAGCTCCTCGTCGCGCTGCTGTGATTCTCTGCGTGCCTCTTTGCGCATCGTCTCCAGCGTCATCTCCAGACGGAGTTTGGCCTGCTCCAGCAGCTGTATTTGGCCGGCCATCTCGTCCAGTTCCTCTTCCTGCTCTTTGGCCCGTCGCTCAGTCTCGTTCTTGGATCGTCGCAGTTGGGCAAACTCTTCCTCGGTGCTGCCACCGAATGTCATCTCCTCCAGTTCGCGCTGCAGCGAGGCAAGCTTCTCCTCCTTGAGGTCCAGATCCAAGCGTGTGTCCTGCAAAAACACAGAGATATGTATTTCTCAGATGATTCAGAGATCTGTGACTGGGCTTTTTAGTGCTGCTGTTCTCATTCCGAATCAAGACGGACGTACTTGAATCATTCGCGTAGCATAGCGGAAACTCATGGCTGTGTAATTGGTTTTCGGGGTTGGGCTGGGGTTTCTTTTCTGCTGGGAATTCTTTTCTTTCTTTCTGTGTTCTCTTCGGCCCGTATTCCGTATCTAAATCGCAGCGGACAGTCGGTCGTCGTTCAGTTATCACCCTCCATGGGCTTTTTCCAGTTAATTATAAGTATCGAAAGCGCGTAATGAGGACGCCGTAAATGTTTTAATTTCTTTTCTTTTTTTTCAGGCACACAGACAGATAGAACTGCTGCGGGATTGTCTTGTGTGATATGTATGTACTCCAGTTATCGCGCATTGACGTTCGTCGAGCTACTGTCGTAGCGGAACAGAACAATGAAGAAAGCAGCAAAGCAGAGATCCACAAATGTGTGACCAAGCAGTCGGAGAACCACAGACAGAGAGAGAGAGAGTCATCCGCCAGAGAGAACCTCAAGTACAGGCCGATAAAAACACGAAAAACACCAGAACCGAGAGCCGAGAACCAAAGAAACAGCGCGCATGGAAAATCTTGAAATGGGAATGGAGTACCTATGCAACATGCCGCACATGCGTACCCAACCCATGTGTCTGTCTATCTGTCTGTCTGTCTGTCTGTCGTGTGTCGAGTGTCGTGGGCAGCAGCAGCAGCAGGTAGAGGTAGAAGGCTCTAGGTAGAGGCCAGAGCTGTGCCTGTGGCTATGGCTATGCATGGGCAAACAAGCCGAACAAGTTTCCCAGTCTCTGAGTCTCAGATATGCAGTATCTGTATCTGTATCTGCTGCAAAATGTGCCGCCGACGCCGCCACTTGTTCAAACACTAAGCTACAAAGGCATTTTTTTGTGCCCAGAACTATTCTTGAGCTAATTATAAACGATAATCGTTTTTAAAATGATATTTAATGGGAAATTGAATGTCAAAGGCAATAAGAACTGTCGCTATTGGTATCTTTCCTAAATAGATCATAAATGTAGAGAAGCCACATCTGCGAGTCCTTTAGGTCTAAAACAACAAACAATTGCTAGATTGAAATGAAATATCTTCTGTTGATATCTATAAAAAAGAACCCCCTGTAGCACAGTGTAAACTCCAACACATGTTGCCCCAGACCTACATCAACAAGGAATACCCTCTCCCGTTCAACGCTAGTACGTACCGCCAGTGTTTGCTCTAGGGTAAATTTCTCCGCTTGGAGGACATCCTTTTCGCGGCCATAGCGTTCCTTGGCCTGGCGCTCCTGCCTGGAGGCATCCTGCAGCGATTGGCACTCGGCATCGAATTTGCGCTGCTTCTTCTCGAGCAAATTGTTACGGGCATTCTGCTCCTCGAGCAGCATGCGCAGATCGTTCATCTCGTTTGTCATCTTCTGTGCCTTGCGCTTCCATTGGCCCACAACCTGGCGTTGCTCCTCAACTTCCTCGTAGGCATCCGAAAGCTACAAGCAGAAAGGGATTACAATGATTAGAGAGAGAGAGAGAGAGAGCCCCAGGCAAAACGATCAGGCATACCTTCTTCTCCAATTGCTTCTTAAGCCCGACCAGCTGTTCCAGATCGTGCTCGTGCTGCGTCTGCAGACGCCGCTTCGTGAACTCCAGCTCCCGGGCCACGCGCTCGTACTTGAGCTTGTAGACGCCACCGCTTCCCTCCTCGTTGTCGCCTTCCTCATCCTCTGATATGCCATTCAGATCGGACTTGGCGCAGATCAGCTCCATCTCCAGCTTCTCTGTGGTCTCCTGCAGGTTCTTCACCTTGCCAGCCTGCTCACCGAGCTCCTTCTCCAGCTTCAAACGCTCGCCGGTCTCTGCCTCCAGGCGTTCGGTGGCAATATGGGCCGTCGATCGCTCCTCGGCCAGATCCACCGTCAGCTCCGACAGCTGCAACGAAAATTGGGGGCGTGGGCCAATGTTAGTGCAAATATTTGAGAAAATAGTGTTTCATTTAATTCGAAGAAATTATATTTTTGTTTGTTGTTTTTTTTTTCGAACATTCTCTCGGATTCCGTTTCCGATTACTGCCTGCCATATGTCGGATATTTATTTCCACAGTAAACAAATGTCTGGTGGAGATTCTAGGAACCATAATTTTCGTATATTCCGCAGTGGAACCCAAAGAATGGGATCATGGCTGCACGAGAAATTTAGTAGCTCTTAAAAAGTCTCTTAAAGTTTAATTTATCTACAAATTCTGCCACAATTTTGTTGAACATGATTCCAATATGAAACAAGGCCCAAGGACCACACGGAATGCTTTCTGTAAGACCTCATGATACCAAGTACTCCGTTACCAATCATGGAAACTAAAGAAAATACTCTTTAATGACGAATCATTCACGGATCCCAGAATATCTCTTCATAAGATCCGATGACAGAGTCACTAAACATATCCTCAGAGATCCCCCATAAGTCTGAAAGATCTCTCATTCATAGATCAAAGAATTACTGTCAACACTCTCTCGATTACTCAATGGATGCCCATGACACCAAATTGAAAAACTGACTCAATGAGTGGTATTCCGTATGGTATTCTACAGATTCAAGGTGCTCCACTCTTCGCAGTTCATTGGCCCCTCAGGAAAAGTGTTGAAAACATTCTCCAGTTCTATAAAAATTTCCAGAACCAGCCCCAAACAAAACAAAACATTCAGACCCCTATGGATATATGAATATGGAATATTCCCTGCCTCCAACTGAAAGAATTCCTCGGCATGAATCACATAGTTTACGGATCTAAAAATACAATCTATATCTACCATAGAGAGGGGAGACAGAGCAGGGAAGAGAGCGAGAGAGGATTACTGCTGTCAATGTCACCGCGCAGCATGGAAGCCCCTACCTGTCTGCCTCCCGTCTTTAAGAATTTCTAATTTATGGACCCATGGAGACATCATCACCCCCACAGCCATTACGGAGGCGTTTAGAAATTGTGTCAGAGAGAGATCAAGGTTAGGCGGTGGCTACCTCATCATCCTCCTCGTGTATGGTGCGATCATCGTCGTCGTCATTCCCATTCGTCGCGATGCTGGTGCTGGCCACCGAGGACTCGCGCTCCCTGGCCTGGGAGTTGCCCCGTGATGTCGGAGTGTGTGGCAGTTGTTTTGCCAGCTGGAAGGCCTTCGTGAGGATGTTCTGGGAGGATCGAGTGCGTCCCACGGACCCACAACGCTCCATGCTGTTCCGTTCGCGTTGCCGCTCGATCAGCGAGATCGTGTCGTAGTCATCGTAGCCGGAGCAAGTGCTTCCCGGAGTGGTGCAGCGGCTGTCCGCGCCTTCGCCACGGCTGCTCCTGCTCGTGGTGGTTGTCCGGCGCGTCCTCCTGCCCATAGCGGTCCACTCCTCCTGCACGTGATCGGTGCGCTTCAGGAAATTCTTGATCTTCTCGCTCAAGTACGCGGACGAGGTGCGCGGATCCTCGAACGAGGGTGAGGCCCTCATCGTCTGATGCACGGGTTGTCGCTGGCAGCCGAGCACAAACGACAGATTGCCATCAAAGACCACCGGGGAGCTCTCCAGCTGCCGCATCTCGTAGGGATCCACGCCACCCGATCTGTCCCGCGTGTAGCTCTGGGGAAAGACGCGCCTTGGAGGCGTCTGCAGGCGCGAGCAATTGGACACGGAGGAGGAGACGGCGGAGGAGCGCGAGGAGATCGAATAGGCGGGACTTGGCGAACGGTTCACCAGTCGCACACGATCCCGTTCCCGCTCCCTCTCCTGTGAGGCCGCTGTGGAGGATTGGTTGAAAGGCAGTTTCAGCGAGATCTCGTAGTGGCTTTCACTGTCCTCCTGCTTCAGGTTCAGGTCCTTACCCAGCAAGGACGTTGAAAGCGACGAGCCACCGCCACTGCTGCTGCTGCCACGCTTGGAGGAGGTGTAATTGTTGTAGGTGTGGGTGGAGCTAGTGGTGTTGCTAGTCGTGTTGTGTCTTGTGTGGCCGTGGCCATTGCTCAGGACGGGACTCTGCTCCCGCTGCTTGGGCAGCAGTCGGAGCTGCTTCCGTGCCTGGCTGGTCGGCGGTTTCGGGGGTCGGGCCAATGGGACAGAGATTGAGCCACTCAGAGTGGAGTTCAGCGAGGAGTTGCTGCTGTTGTGGGAAATGGTGGCAGTGCCACCGCCACCACTACCGCGTGTTCCATTCATGGCTGCCAGCACTCGTTCGAGGAATCGTTCCTTCTCCCGTCTGTCCGACTCTAGAGGCGACTCATGGCCAGGATGCCGGAGCTGGGTCTCTGGGTATGGTACTTCCTCGTCTGCCGCAGCTGCAATGTCAGCATTGGCCTCATTAGCAGGCGACAGAGGAGGCATTAGGATTAAGGGATTAGGAATAGGGGGTCGTGGGGTGGGTTAGTAGGGGATGCAGAGAGGGTGGGGGAGTGGTCCTTGGCCAATTTTTAATCAAATTTTTCGTAGCTAAATTTCGAAATTTTCGGTGTCGTATGGTGTCGTTTTGGTTCGTTATTTCAGTCGAGAAATGGTTTAGTTTTCTCTTGCGGTTTACAATATATTATATTATGTTTTGTGTGTGCAGGGGATGAAGGGGAGATTGTCAAAAACTTGAGACCGTTGAATGCAATTTTAAATTTATCTTCGGGCCTGAAATTTTTGTGTTAGCACGCGCTGGCAATAGCATCGAATTGCCAAAAGAAAAAAATACGACAAGAATTTCCTTTGTTTTTTCTCACTGCGGATTTTGTTTTTTTATTATGGTATTATGGCTTTTGGCACCCGTTTGTTCACACACGCACGAAACGGACGGATAGATGGATCGTCTGGTATCGTATCAGATCGTATCGAATCTCTCCCGAACGTAGACGGCGCCACGGTGGGGCCTCAGGCGTGCGCAACGTTTGCTCGGCGACTAAGTGATGCGTGTGCTCTGGGTCTTGCGTCTTGCCGGGGTTCGTTTGGTTCTGGCCAAAAGCTCTGCCGGGTCTTGTGGCTTTTCGGCAAGCCAGATAGAGCGAGAGCGAGAGCGAGAGAGAGGGCGAAAGACCACAAGAGATCGGAAGAGAGCAGAGACGCCGCCAAGTCAATTGCAACATTCTGCCACACACATCACATAATCTTTTGGCCAGACAGAGTCGATTTTCGGCCAACTGTTGATGATCCCATAATTTGGCAATCTTTGCTGTGGGTGCAGGGGAATTATGTAAAATAAACCCAAGCAGGCAGCAGATCCCGAACCAATACGTTCCCCCAAAGAGTGTATCCCCAGCTGCAGCTCAATTGTAGCGCGACAAAGTATTATTAATGATCTTTTAGAGCATTTAAAAATACATTCTGGCGTATCTATTCTGGTGGCACGATCTGTGCGAAACATTGGTATCCATCTCCACAGAAAGACACACACAAGAGGCACGGTACGGCACGGCACGGCACTCACGAATGACTCTCAGAAGAGTTTCAGAGTCAGTTGGTGTTCAATGCCCAAAATGCGATGCTATTTATAGATCCCTTCAGAACAAGAAAAGAAAAGCCAACGCCAAAGGGATGGAAATCTACCAGCGGAACGGGTACTAAAATACTTATAGCCACAGATCGATTAGACGACAAGGGAATTTGCTCTCGAAATCGATAAAGACATATTTTGTAATGGAATCTATTAATGAAGAAAACCGAATTGAATTCTATTCCATTTAAAGATGTTTTCTTTGAGACTTGTGCATCTCTACAGATCGCTGGGTGACTTCTTTCTTTGGGGGATAGAGAATTGATCTTGAAATTGATAGAAAGGAAATGTATCCACAGATTTATTTGTTAAGCAATGAGAAAGCACGAATCTTGTGGAAGTTTCTGCTGAGATTTTTATCCTATCCGCTCTAAGGACATTAATTCCTATAAAATTTGTATTTATTCATATATTACCCCTAATTATTTCTATATTTCTCAGATATTTTATCTACCACAAATAAAATCTATATATTAGACATTCATTTTCACCATCTTTCGCCATCTTTTGGCGACCCAAATAGTCGAAACGAAAGCCAACGCACAGACATAAGACGTGTGGTCACAGATGACATGTCATGTCAGCCGACGTTCTTTTTGTGGCGATGCTATTTTAATTGGACACCAAATCAGACGCAACTTGTCCATCTGCAGACACTTACCTTGGCTTCCAGCTTCTGATTCTCCGCCTTGACCTCGCTGCGATCGCACTCGATCTTCTCCAGCTTGGCGCGCAGCATCAGTAGCTCCTCATTGGCGGTCTTTAGCTGCTCCTCAGTGCGATGCACATTGAGCAGGGGCGTCACTCGAACCAACAGACGCCACCAGGGCCAGTCACGAACGGCCAGGAAAGCCTTGACATTCCGCTGAATGCAGCGTACAGCGAGTTCCTAATGAAATAATAGAAGATTTTAGTTGTTTTCTGTTAAGATGTTTCTGTTAAGGGTTTCAAAGTTACCTGAACTCTTCGCTGTGACATCTTCTTGCGGGCCAAGTAGCCGCGACAGAAGGCCTGCAGCTGTATGATGCGATCCGAGAGCAGGACATCGCGTTTGGCCTCCAATTCGCTGAGAACTCCAGAACGGAAGAGGATCTGAAATAAAGTGAAGGTTTCGACTATTAATATTGGAAAATTAAATGGGAATTTGTACAATTTTAAGGGTTTAAATCCTTCTATAGAAAAGTCAGGAATCGTATTTTATGAACACCTGCTTCAATCTGAAGACAGATATACATTGCAAAGCCTGATGGAATACTCGTACAAACATGTAAGAAATAAATCCAAAAGTAAAACCCTCCCAAAATGCTCAAAGTCCCCTCTGCATAGATATATCTTATAAGACCCCAACTGTAATCCAGTCTGCACGTGCAACATCATTTGGAGCACAGACGCAAAATGGAAACCAAAATAAAGAAAATCAAATTAAATTCAAGGAAGTGAAGGTCAGGGTGGCCCTGACTTTGGCCCCCTATCCACAGACAATGCTAATGAAGGCGCAGAGGCAGATGTTCGGGATGGGATGAGATCCAGAGGTTATCGCGGGGTAAGAGCCATGGCAATTTGAACACCTGTGGCAAAAGCAGAAAACAGATAGAGATGCCAGAGCTCTCGTCTTGACAGGTGTGAAAGTGAGAAGAGGGCAAATAAAAATGAAATTGTAAGCAAGATATTGCCATTAAGAAAAAAAGAGAAACAGCACAGCGATACTCGTACAATGGGAAGCCAGAGCCCTGCTAATGGTAGGGGTTCATGCAGGTTGCAAATGCAAATGCTTATGGGCCAGATACAATAGTATAGTGCTCGCTCGTACGGGGTTCAGCTACCATACCGCCAGCTACCAGGTTCCCATACAAATTAGCGACTGGCGACGCGGCGCGACGCACCTTTGAGGTGTGGCCCCACTGTCTGTGGCTGTCTCTTTTCTGTCGGCATTTGTCTGTCCCCCAAATTTGCGACTTTAGTCGAGAAACTATGAGTGTTTTGCTCTCCCTCTCTCGCCGTCGCGTAGAGACTTTAATTATGCCCCGCACGTAGACAAAAATGAAAGTAAACCAATGTGAAATGGCAAACTAAATGGTCTTTGGAGTGTGCTGGGCTGCGCTGCTATCACATCACAACGGATCGGATCGTATGGTGGTGCGGCACGGTTGTCGGGGATACCATCGTCGGGCTGGATACAGGGTTTGGCGTGGGGTCTGTCGTTTGGTCGTAAAATCTAGCCACAATGTATCACATTTCAACGATCCATAAACTCTAATCAAAGTTTGACAGCGCATAGGATACGAATTTGTAGAAAGTTGAGGAAATATGTTTCGTTCTTGTATGAAAAGGAATGCAGTATATCGATATATATCGGTAATTATCGATCCCCATTTCGATATTGATAAAAAGCAGCTAAATCCACCATTTTCTATATCAATTTAGGCAGGTATTTCGATATTCAGACTTTCGATATTCAGTATTTATCGATAATTATTTCGATTACGATAAAGGAAAGTCACCGATTGAGATTCAATTAACAGAAGGACATTCGGGAGACAGTATTTATCAGATTTTCGAGCAGCTATAAGATTAAGAGAGACATAAAATCATATTTGTATATCAAACATAGGAAATATTCCAGTCGATAACTTATCGATTGGTTTCTACAAGCAACGCAAGCGGGAGAACAGCAGGTGTTTATACCTTAAAGAAGGAAATCTTCCAAATAACCAGATATTAACAATTCAAAGTAGGACTTGATATAGAGCCAAAAGAACAGAACCGATGAAAGCAAGTGTAAGTTAAGTAAAGGAAGATAAAGGTACAAAATTAAGGGTAGATAAATTAAAGCCAAGGAAATTTTAAAGACCGTTGGGGAAAAGGGAAAATATAAGCCCAAAAACAGCAAATGGTTTTTTGTACAGTAAATATTTATTCCATTAACAGCAAAAACGTTAGAGATAAAAGATAAAGTTAGATGAGGCAAAGCACAATAGATAAGTAGATACATCTGAGAGTTAAGATGGGATCTGGTGGAGGCTTGGATGCACAGCTGGGATATGCTGGGTACTCGTACCGGGTGGCAGTCAGTGCAGCCGCATAGTTACCTCTTTCGTGTAGGTGGGATAGATCTCCACCTGCGTTTGGATGCACCGCACCGCCTGCACCTGTGCCACCACCTTGGTGGCAATCATGGAAGGGGCAGAGGCATGAGCAGCATTCGATTTAACAGCTGCCGCCGCTGCTGCCACTGCCTCGAACTTTTGCAGGAGTTCTGCGATTTTGTTGGACTTTTTCACTGCCGATGGTTCTTCGGCTTCATCGCCCTCCGATTCGCAGAGGCTGCCCGTGGAATTACAGGTGGAAGTGGACGTCGAGAGCACCGTGTTGCTGATGTGTCCCGAATCATCCGAATCGGAGGAGGGTTCCTGCTGTCTCTCCTCATCCTGCTTGAGGGGCTTCTTGAGCGGCAGAGAGTCCTTTGTCTTTGCCTTTGCTTTTGGCTTGGTTTTTACCTCCTGCACTACCTTGACCAGCAGGTCCTGATTCTTATCCGATGTCTCCCCCAGCTTCGGGGGTATAATCTTGCAGGACTCGAGCTTTGGCTTGCCCATCTTCTCCTCGTTCGCGTACTGCAGCTTCTGCTGGTGCCTCTTCTTGTTCCTCGCCAGCTGCGAGTGCTCCTTGCTCACCCCCCGACTGCTGCTTCGCTTCGGCTTGGCACTGCTGATGTTCTCCACTTGGCGGAGGATCTCATGGCCCTTGGCCAGGCACTTGACCAGCAGCTCATCGCTGTGCGCAGTCGTGGCTCTCAGCGTGGAGTTGGCTCTCCTGGGACCCGGTGGCCTGCTGTGCACCTGTCGCCGCTCCAGCGTGGAGTTGGCTCGCTTTGGTGGGAGTGGCGCTGCAGCGGAGGAGGCTTTGGCTTTCAATGGAACTGCAGCAGTGGCTCTGGCTGTCGCTGGAGCTGTGTTTCTGGCTGGAATTGAAGATCTACCAGTGATTCCACTGTTCAAAGTAAGCATCGATCGCGTGCGCTGCTTGCTGCTCCTGTGATTCAGCGGCTGATCCAGGCAGAAGCTCTCGCTTCTCTTCCTCAAGCTCGAGTGCTTCGAAACGGGTATCCGGCTGCCATTCAGTTCACTCAAAGAATTGTATCTGGAGTTCGCGTTGGACGTGGAATCGGATCTCCTTAGGAGCATGGAATTGGCCAGTTCAGGCGACTGGTAGATCTGCCGCTTGGCCCGGCCCATACTGAGGCTGCTGTGGGATTTCGAGAGCAGCATCTGTCGATCGCAGAACTCTGCTGGCGGGGCAGGCAGCGGCACCTCCTCCGAGGGCCGCATCTCTCTGATCGACTCCACTGGTGGATATTCGCTGAGGATCTGGTCAAAGCTCTGCAGCACTTCGTTCAGCTTACTCTCGTCGTGGGCCACCTTCTCCAGCTCCGCAAAGATCTCATCCTCCAGCGACTGCTGCGTCAGACTGAGGCTCAGGCTCAGGTGACTCTCCTCGTCGCTGTCCACATAGCTGCAGATGCTGCTGCTCATCTGTGGCGGCACCTGCTCCATCATCTTCAGGGGAGTGGCCACAGGTGGGCCCACTGCTTTCGGGGTATACTTGCCACCGATGCAGCCACCATCCACCTGCAGGCTGAGGGCACTCATCGATCTCGTGTGCTTGCTGCCTTTGTAGTACAGCTTTCCGCCCAGTTTGGGGCTCAGGTTATCCTCGATTTTGTGGCGAATGTGTGAGAAGAACTTCTTGCCTGCTCCCAGTCCATGTTTCGGGGATGTGGGCGTCGTTGTCGCTGCCGTGCCAGAAGCTGGCGGCGGCTGACTCCGGGCCTGGGCCAACCTTGACTTGACCGTGTGCTTGTACATCGAGGATCGGGCCGTGCCGTGCTTCAAGATGATGTAAAGCCAGCGATCAGCGATCAGTGATCAGCGATCAGCGTACGGACGACAAGCAAGTAAAAGTGCATATAATTTGTGTGCAATAAATTGCAGTTTTCCTTCCACTTTCACGGCTCAAAAGATGGCGAGCGGAACCTGGCGCGTAACTCTCGTATCTCGGTATATCGGTATTCGTGTGGCGTGGCGTGGCTTTCTGGCGTTGTTTTCTCTTTGAGCTCGGCGACGCAACTGAATTTGTTTTGGCCAAAGAGCTCGAGTCAGAGGCCCCCAGCCGCAGACCCAGAGCCCGCGACAGAGCTCGAGCCATGCATTCGAAAGTGGCTTATCAAGCAGTGGACACTGCTGGGTAGGGGGGTACTCTCTGAGGTTGAGGTTGCCACCGTAATTGGTGGTGGTAGAGAAGGAGAAGGGGCATGGGGCATGGGGCATGGGGCCCGGGCAGTACAGAGGTGAATGCAACCGAAAGACCAACGGACCAACACCTGGCAACGTGTTCGATGATGCTAATTGCCACAGCCAACAATTGGTCACCGAACGAGCGGACGAACACATGCCCGATTTATGCTTTGTGCCCCCCAGAGAGCATAATTAGCATTTACCATCATCATCATTATTATTATTATCATCATTCCATCATCATCATCACCTCTGAGGCGTTCAAAGAAAAGTGAAACAAGTGAGGCCATGCGGAATGGGGGGCTCTGGGGCTCTGAGGGCCCTGCGGCTACTTATTTGTGCTTCCACTTTTGTGCCTTTTCATTGCCAGCAATTGGACTTGGACAAACGGCACACAAAAGATTTAAAAGAAAACAGACCTACTCGTATACGCAATGCAATGGCACTGGAAAAGTGTCAAACAAACACCGAGTGTGGCAATCATAGAGGAATGACAAGAGTCGCAGTCTGGAGAGTGACATCCACTGCAGTTGAAAGGTCATTAACCGCAGAGCGGGTTCTACTAAACCCAATTGGGAATTGTACTTTGACAGCACATCCCAAGCCAAGCAGAAGAAATGCAGTCCATCTTCCTTACAACCGAGGGGTACTGCTGCAAGACGCGTGACATTAAGAAGTATTTATGGAGACCACCAGATCTTACATTAGAAATGGGCTGTTGATGAGAAAGATGAAAGATCGACATTGTTGAGGTAGGACCAGCACTAAGAACCACTTCCACTCCATAGATCCAATAGAAAGAGCAGAGTACCATATCCAGAGAGAGATTTTCAGGCATGCATATATCATATAACCTGCAGGGGTTTTTTAGCAGACTTTAAAATCAATATTTCCCACAGAAATCATCTGCTGGAATTGCGCCATCAACAAGGGGATTATCCGATAAGTTATCCCTTCTGTTCAGGATCAGGAAATCCTCAAAAAAAAAAAAAAAACCCCATAATTATCCTTGACTGCCCATCACCCATAAGAATGTCAATGGGGGAATTGATGTAATTCCAGTGCAAACGTCAGTGGCGATTACAGAGCCCTGCTGTGCGGCCACGAAAGTCATTCGGAAAACGCATCTGGCTTCCTGGTTATTGTTTCATAATTAAAAACTAGTTTACATATGCGTAAAGCCCTCGGTTTTTCGGTAAAGACGCGCCCCCTTCCACACACACACACACACACACACAGGGAGCGAGAGAGGCGTTAATGAAGTTTTCGTGTTTTTGGAGGGGGGGCCTTTTGTTTTGCAAAGCCAATTTAAAAAGCATTTCCCTTTGGTCCACTCTCTCTCTCTCTCGCTCTCCGTCTGTCTGCATCTCTTTATTGATGGAGCGATGACAGAACCCGCCCCAAAACCTCAAAAACGTATTATATAATCCCCAGATATAACCAGGTTGGGCAAACCAGACAGACAGGCGTGTACGCGACCGACACGGGCAGGGGCAGGCACTCCCTCTCTGCGTCCGCGTCTGCGTCTGCGTCTGCTCGAGCATTTCTAATGAAAGCGAACGCTGGAAATTTCACTTTGGGGAAACAATTTTAATGTGCATTGGTCAAATGTGGTTTTCTGTGGCTTCGGACTCGCCACTGACTGCGCGGCTGTGCGACTTGCGACTCGCGAGGCCTATGGCGAATGCAGGTTGCAACGTCATTTTTGTATACATTTTTTGTTGTTTTGTTTTTGGTGAAAGTCTCTGCTTCGATGTTGTGTAGTTGTATGTGTTCGTAATCATAATCGGGGATATTTGGAATTGGTTTTGGATTCCGATTTTGGACACTTTCCCATGTACGTACAACAGAGCGAGCAATCAGGCAGACCGTGGCACAGACTATGGCCAAGAGTCCAAAGATCGTGTAGTCAGGCGGTGTCTGGTGGATCCTCTCCATGAATATCCCCAAAAGGTAATCACTGGACAATCGGGGGACACTCGCGTTGCCGCTCGAGAGGCACACGGGCGGCTTTGGGCTTTCGTTCGACAGCCACATCTCGTCGAGAGAGATTCGTCGTCAGGCGATTTCCATTCGTAAAAACCAACTGAGCCGCTGCCCATCTTCCCAGTCTCATCGGAGATCGGAGATTACATCTGGGGGGAATTCTATACCACAGAGACAGTGACGAGCAACAATGGACTGTGGCGTGGCACGACGTGGATGAACTTGACCGTGAAAGTCGTCATCGCAGAGACAGAGACACAGCCGCACAGAGGCACAGAAGGGAGGAGGGGACCGAGGGGGAAACTGGACTTGCAACAAGTGACGTCAGTAAGTGGCTTTATTACGATCACTTCACTGACCATCCCATCCATCTACCCACCAGCAAAAGCAAAAGCACAGTTCGATTCACAGTTGCAGTTGCACGTCGATGAGAACAGGAAATAAAACACCCAACGTGCAGCCAAGCGGAACCCCAGAGATGATGCTGCATGCAACCGATATCTTTGCAGCACACACTCGCGGACAGCAGATTAGAAGCAGGGGATCGGATATGGTAGGAAAAGGGATCTTTCAAGAGGACAGATCAATGTTTCTTAGGCGAAAATAGGGATTATTCTTAAGTGATCGTTCCCGGGAGGGAAGATCAATGTTTCCTAGGAGAACTGGGATCTTTTGCTGGAAAGGAGTTATTATTTCTAAGGGAAGAGCGATCAATCATGGGAGAAGAGTAAAAGGACGAAAGGAATCCATTAAGATTTGTGATCTTTCTTAGGAGAAAAGCCATGAAAACGTAATATTCTTATAGAATAGTGCTCTTTCCCAGTTTTTAATATTTCTAGGACGACTATGGTTACTTCTGAGAAGAAGAGGGATACTTTTCAGTGATATTTCATCCTGCAAAAGAGATAACTTTCCCAATATAAAGAATGATCTATTTAAGGAAACGTTTATCTTTCAGAAGTGTTAGTAAACGTTTATAAAAACAAAAGTGATCTTTCAATTAGAAAGTGTGATATTTAATCCAGAGAAACAGTCACGTTTCCAAAGCAAGTTCTCGAACAAATCTCGACTTGGGTTCAACAAATTGTTAATTATGCATTTTGTTAGCACATTCATTCGCACACTCGAGAGATTTCGCACTTCGATCATTCAACGATCATTTCCAATTTGAATGAACTGTTTTAGGCCTTTTTTAAAACCGAAACTTGAATTTTGCATAGGGAAGTAGTAGGCTTCCCAACAAATTCTGAATTGATCTTAATTTTCGATCCATCCATATATTATGCAAAATCCATTCTAATTAAACTATTTTTTTAAAATGAATGAACAGATATAAACAGTCATGCTTACAGAAGACAAAATATTTATGTTTTACCGCTGATGAATAACCAGTTCTGTGTCTGGGGTGGTGTTTCTCCAAATGTGGGCACAGCTGTAGATTGGTAGGCTGGTAGGCTCGCCTCGGATACGCATCGAAAGATGCCGAATGGAGTTCCAATTTAATGCAATAATTGCAGGGTGGATGGCAATTTAATGAAAGGATATCTTCTTGGGATTGTCAGAAACAATTAAACGAAACTGCGGATGCAACCAACAAAATTTCAATATTCGTACCGTGGAGAGCGGACTCAACGGAATTCCAAGGTAGTTTCTCGCTTAGATTGAAAGTAACAGCGAATTTGTAAGGCAAATAAAAACATGCCGCAGCGAGCAGATGAGGTTTCGTTTCATGTGGGATAACAATAAGCTTACATTATATTGTATTTGCTTTAAGACGTATTTAAATCCTGTCAATAAACATTTCTTTGTAACAACTCGGCGCGAAATTCACACACACACGACACGACACGAGGGGTTTAACGATCTGTCCGAAATGTATATGTATATCCAAAAAAAAATGCCTCAGCACGGGCACTCATTTGTGAGGCTTCTTCCCCAGAAAGAGAGAGAGAGAGAGAGAGATTGGTAGGGGCAGAAGGGCCAGAGATCGTGTCAAGTCAAAAGCTAAAGACATGCTAAATGGTATGCAAAACAGCTGCTGAACCCTATAATTTGAGAATATGCCCCGACATGTCCCTATATCTCTCTCCTCGTATCTCTCTGACAATCCATGGAGATGATCTTCGTTCTTTGAAAGATCAATGACTCGTCATGGCTTTCTGTTTGCAGATATAATTAGTCATCTATCGAAAAGCCCTAATTGGATGTGGAATTGGAGTAAAACGATCGTGGATCACAGATCATAGATGGTATTAGTTCTTAAGTGAAACATTAAATATGATTCATAAACAATTACAGCTCTAAAACGGTCTGATCTCTGACAATCTCTGGTGTTTGTTTATTTTTATAGGCAATTATTTAATTATTTTTTTATAGTTTCGTAATTCCTTGCGTTTCAAACAATTTTCCAATCAATATCTGTGAAGCCTTAGGCGTACAATCTCTTATATAAGAGAGCTCTTCCGAAACATTATGGATGAGCGCGTATCTGTATCTTAGGCCGCAGATACACTCGTTTGCGTGTCGTTGGGGGAAATTAATAAAATAGTCAATGAATAAATGAATATCTTAAACAACACACAAAGGCCCAAGAGAAAGCCTTAAATTAGCATGGGATATTCAGGTTCTCTTCTCGGATATAGGCCTCATTTCGGCACCGATCAATTGATCAGGGAGTCGGCAAGTGTTTGCCTGTACTTACGAGTGCACTTACCACAATTGCAGTGGCAGTGGCAGTGGCAGTGGCAGCGGCAGCGGCTGGGGCTGGGGCTGGGGCAACATCATCAAGTCGTTCATCATGACAGTGACCGGGACCGGCCGCCGGCTCGACAGCGTCGCCCTTGTCTCGTCAGAAGCAACTGCGGGCCGAGAACGGACCGAGAGACAGCGAGTCAGAGACTTTATTTAACCAAGCCTCCATCTAGAATCTTGCCATACTTTTGCTCAGAGCTTGTAACACTTCGGACGGTGTCCGCTCAGGTCTCTGCTCCGCTCAGAAATCCGAAAATATTCGCAGGTTCTTTTAGTGAGCGGCGGGCAGCGTGTGTGATACAATTTAGTTCGAAAAAACAACAGCCTTAAACCCTAAGTTTAAGTGGGTTTTAATTGTGGCTGGCGTTGACATCTGGTTTTATTTTATATTGTGTGTGGCAATTTTACGATCGTAATCGTAATCCAAGATGCGAAGCCGAATACTCCTATTAGCTGCTGTGTTGCTGTGTGGCCCACTGGGAAGTGAGTGTTGATCCGAGCGTGATCTTTATGTTCGATCTCCGAGTGCCATGTGATTCCACCCGTGTCCATTCTGTTTCCTTTCCAGTGACCAGTGCCCGTGGCCCCCAGCGGTTGTTTGCCTATGAGCCAGGAAAATGTGCGTTAACCATCACAGAAGTCTTCGAGGCAATGTTCAAAACAGAGGTGGGGCTGCTCATCGGGGCACGGGCTCGCCTGTCGCAGAGCCACTTGCTCCATTATGATCTCTACACTCCACTGAATCCCCAAAAGAGACAATTCCTGCGAGCAGGAGATCTGGGAATGCTCAGGAAATCGCATTTCAATCCCGAATGGCCAGTGAGGTAGGGGATCCTCCGTCCATAGATGCCATCCCGCTCCTCTAACAATCCCGAGTTCTTATTTGTAGAATTTCCATTCATGGCTGGTCGGGCCGCAGTGAGTCCTGCTCGAATGCCGCCATCAAGGATGCCTATCTTTCACGCGGAAATTACAATGTAATCATCTTGGATTGGAGTCGCCAGGCAATGGACATCAGCTACCAGCGAGTGTCTACGCAGCTGTCTTCCATTGCCGCCAATGTGGCCAAAATGCTGCGCTTTCTGCACGACAGCACAGGCGTGCCTTACGAGCAGATCTACCTGGTGGGCCACAGCGCCGGCAGCCACATATCCGGGCTGGCGGGGAAGCACCTGCGCCCGCAGCTCCTGGGCGCCATAATCGCCTTGGATCCCGCTGGTCTCACGCAACTGAGTCTCGGACCGGAAGACCGACTGTCGCCCCACGATGCCATGTATGTGGAGTCCATTCACACGGATCTGACGCTCCTGGGCAATCCAAGCGATCTCCTGAGCCATGCCTCCTTCTTCGTCAACTGGGGCCTGGGGCAGCCGCACTGTCCGAATGCAACGGCCGCGGAGTTTGCCTTTGTTTGCGATCATTTTGCGGCCTTGTATTACTTCGCCGAGTCGATACGTCGTCCCAGATTATTCCCCGCCTTGCGATGCGACTCGGGGGCAGCCATACACTCGGCCACCTGCCACTGCCGCAACAGCACCAGCAGCAACAGCACCAGCTCCAGCATACACGCCATGCGACAGACATGCCATGGCGATCAGTTCATGGGCGGTGAGCCAGCTGTCCAAAAGAACGGTGTCTACTACCTGAGCACACGGCGGCAGGCGCCATACGGCCACATTGATGGCATGGTTCACATGAAGCCGCCAGTGAAATCAAACGTTTTTGAGACGGGTGGCCCACGATTTTGGCCGCAGTAGGCAGCAGCACCCCTCGAGGCAGGGCACTGCGAGTGTCCAACAAATGTGATTTATCCAAATGTTTAAGTTTAGAACTAAAGAGCCATTAAAATCCAAAGCATTCCCCCTTAAAATTAGATGTGAAAAATACATTTACATATATCTGTATGTAGGGGATCCAAGGGGGAACTGAGTTTCATTGAGAGTGCTAGTCTTTTAGATGTAAATATAGATGGAAAAGGAGGTGTCTAATATCCCAAAGAGTAGAGGAACGGGACCCAGAAGATGGCATTCGAAGTAGTACTCCTACAGAAGTAGCTCCCGATTAGCATTGTAATGTAATTAATCAATTAGGATCATTGATGGATCGAGTAAAGCAGCAATGGGCATTCTCCTATTCACTTTCTTGTGGCAAAAGCGTGGCGCCGGCCAGGCCATTAGAAGGGTTCTTCTTTCATTCTTTAGTTTCCATACAACAAAACCACGACTCACCTGACTAGGACCTATACGATAGCTAGCCACATCCAACTCGTTGATGGCCAGTATCTGCTCCACGCTCACATCCTTGTTGTTGGCCAGTTCGCCGGCCAAGAGGCCAAAGCGACGCACAAACTCCAACAATGGCACAGATTCGGGGAAGCCCAGACGATGGAGACGCGCTGCCTCCAGCACTTGAGAGCCACGTAGCTAAGAAACAGAGAATCAGAAAACATTATGCCTGCCACTTGGATATTTCTAGTGTCTTCCGGTACCTGACTCCGCAACAGTGGCACATTCACCATCTCCTCCTCGCTGGCCGTCTGACCCGCCGCGGAGTGAGGCGAGCCATTGGCCGTGTATTTGGCCTGCTTTCCGGCATTGTGCTGCAGCAGATAGCAGTGGACAAAGTGGGTGCCAGTGCGACGCAGGGTGTCGATGATCCCATCCACAGTGAACTTCACCTGCAGCATAATGGAATTGCGCTTCACTCCTGCGGTAGTGAAGGATCGCCGAATGCTGGACACACGGCGCAGCGACTGGGTGCCCTCAAGCCCAGCAAAGGAGCCACAAAAGACCATGGCGCCGGAGCCACGCGTCAGGGAGCCAATGTACAGGCGATTGATCTCCTCCCGACTGCTGTCCTGCAGCAGGGACACTGCATTCCGTATGCCTGGATGCTCGCGACTGTTGCGCACCCATCCATCGACGGCATAGAGCACGGGATTCGTGCCCTGGAGATGGTGCAGGACAAACTGCCGAGGACCGGCGCACTTGCGCAGCAGCGAATGGTGCTCCCGGTCGCCGTAGTGCGAGAACAGGCGCTCGAGGAATGTGTCGTCGTTGGAGTTCGGATAAATAGCCTCTTCGTCCAGGAGCCTAGGGGAGGGAAATCAAAATTAACGAAAGGAAACGGTAATGAATCCCAGAGAATCCTCACCATAGCATCCCTCGACGATCGTGCTCGCGGAGGTCGCGTTGGGAGGAGCGCACTACATGATTCTGTGGCGCCTTGTCGATCAGCGAGATCAACGGACCCGGGTGACACTCCGAGGCCTGATCCGCCTCGATCTCCACCAGCTCCTGGGCATACCGATCGCGCGGCGCCACCAGGGTGGTGTGATGGAAGAGCATTTGCAGCCGCTCCTGCAGATAGTTGTGCCGCAGATCGGCCAAAGTGGCCCCGAGCTGCTGTCCACAGCTCGCGGGGTTCTGGAAGCCGGGCGTATCGATCAGCATGATCGAGGCAATCGTATGAGCGGAAGTACAGATCTGACGATTGATCAGAGCCACCACGGCGGCCAGGGCCTCCGAATACAGGCCAATGACCAGCGCCTCCAGGCGCTCCCAGGCCCACTCGTGGCCATTGTCGGACGTGGGCGACTTCGAGGGACTCAGTCCGCCATTCGGAGCATTCGGTTGCGTGAGGCCAAAGGCAGCCGACGACAAATCCTCGAGGTTCACGCCCAGCAGCCCTGCCGCCTTGCGTGCCGCCGTTGGATTGGCAAACTGCGTCCGGGCCGTGGATCCGGTTCCCAGTTTGGTCACCCCTGCAATTCCCAGATGGTAGATGGCCGCAAGTATGCTCCAGATCCCACGCACTGCCTTCGCATCGATGTTGAGCGACTCGAAGGCCTGCACCGTGCGCATAAAGTCATTGGCCGCCCGATGCCGGTCCTCCAGCTTCTGGGAGAGCGATATAAACGGATGGCTATCCTCGGAGGTGATGTTCTCCAAGTGCAGCTCCTTCTGCAGCAGCCCAGCGGCCCCTGCCAGCAGTCGCGTCATAATATGAAAGCTGTGCTCGTGCGCTAGCCGTCGCCCAGCACGCTGTCGCTCGGGTAGGAGTACCTGAAAGAGGATTACCATTGCCATAACCAAGAGTGTCTTTTAGTTGTTTTTCCACACACTCACCTGCAGCGAGGCGGAGGCTATCTGTCCCGTCTGATCAAAGTCCAGGCTCAGCAGCTGCGTCATGCGTGTGGCATTCGAATTGAGGCAGGTTCTTGTATTGCCAAATGCCTCCAGAATGGTGCACAAGGCATTGACCTTTTCGGCATTTATGAAATTGTTGTAGGCACCTGTTAAAAAGAAAAGGTTTTCAGAACTTTTTCGAATGAGGAAACTATTTTTATTTCTAGAATCTATTCGAGCCCCTAAAGATATCTGGAATAAAGACTGAACACCATGAGCTTCTTGTGTTTTTTGATTATGGGTATAAAGAGGATCCTATTGTGAGGATAATATAAGTCTTTATAATATCCTAGATCTACTTTAAACAATCGTTTACCATTAAAATGTATGGGCGTTATTCATCTTACTATTAGATTGTCTTTGCTTATTCTATTCTGAACATTGAATAGTGAGTTAGGCCACACTGGGAAACATTTTGGATGTGGTAGATACAATCTATAACTTTAAGTCTGCTTTTGGGGTTTGCTTATAAATAACGAGTCTAAAACGACTTCTAATTTGCCTGGAAATCATTTTAGAGCAAGAAGAAAATACTACTGAAATGCTACTCTACATTTAACTAAAAGATACTGGTGGAATCCATTTCCACTTTGATTCCCTCCGCCTTTCTGTGGCACTAATGGAGGTAGGCTTGGGCTTGGGCTGGGGCGACTAATTGCAGCTGCATTTTCTTGGCCAACAATGCAAATGAGCAAATCGAATGAGCGAACACATTCTGTTGGCTGCCACACAGCCCAAAAACTGGGCCAGCCTACAGCCAAATGCAGTTGCAGTCGATAGATAGACACAGACACACGCGACACACGGGACACACGACACATACCAGCGGCCAACGCCAAGTAGTTTAAAGCATGCTTGAAGCTTGTGGATTTGCCAGAACCAGATCGGCCCATGAATATGAGGCTCTGGTCGCGTCGCGTCTCGACCAGACTCCTGTAGGCGGTCTGGGCCAGCGAGTAGACGTGGGGCGGCATGTCCTCCGTCTTGCAGCCCCGGAACATGGAGACAACCTACCGGAGGGAGGGGGAGAGGGAGAGAGAGCAGAGCAGATAAATAACCAGATCGCACACACAGATTCAGATCCAGAGTCAGATTCAGCGACCAGTTGTTACCTTCTCGGAGTAGAGGGACAACGGGGCCATCGGATTGACCACGAGCAGCGTGGGCCCCGCCTTGGTGTGGATGAGGTTGCTCGCATACCGCTGTCGCAGGCAATGCAGCACCGAGGCCTCGTTCAGATACTTTAGCTCGCAGATGTCCTCGCATAGGTCCAGGGCGGGGTTATTCTGCTTCTCCACATCGTCCTCGTCGACGGTCAGCTGCTCCCCGTTGTGCAGCAATCGCACCAGCAGCTTGTGGGGCTCCTCATGGCCTCCTCCTACGGTTGTTGGCTGTGGCAGGCGTATGGCTGCAGTGAAACCTCCGCGATGGACCAGCCACAAACGCTCTGGCTCCCGCTCTGCTTGTACGGTGGCGACAGCATCTGTCCTATCCGTTGCATCCAGCTCCCCTCCGCCAACAGCTGTTGGAGAGGTGCCTCCTGCTTCTCCGCCTCCATGGCTATTCTCGTGGCGGCTCTGCGAAAAAATTAAAACCAAAAATTGACGTTAAATTGGGGTCAACATTTTGTCGGCTGGGCCGCCTCGCAAAAACTTCAATACAAAGCAGTTCTTTCGTTGTTTATTTTTGTACACTCTCGAGGCAGATTGGGGGGCAGCATTTTCACGCATTTATTCCATTTATTATCGTATCGTACTCCCTGCTGGCAGATGCGAAGACACGAAGACGCAGCAGAGTTTCGTTTTTGGGGTTTATTTCGGTTGCATTTCTAAATTTGATGATTTTTCTAAATCCTAATTAGCCGCCCAGACGCCGCGCCAAATGCTATTCGGCTAGACACCAGAAGCCTCTGCCTTCGACTACTACTACGACTACGACGACGCGGATGTGGTTGCACGGACATGAGACACGGGACGCGTCATTATGCAACGTTCTCTACAGCGGAGTCGTTCTCGAAGTCAGTTCACATTTTGTGGCTATAAATGGAGCTGCTTTTTGGGGGAGAAGTAGCAGTGCTGTGATGCCGCAGCATCTCCTTTTGAATTATGAAAACTACTACTCGTATATTGTGCAAGGTTCAATAGCCCTCAATTAGCACTCGGGGAAAATGTTCTCTAGAGGAAGTTGTGTTGGGAAAGTCTCTCCTCGGACACGATCAGGTTGGGAAAGTATCTCTACGGATGCGAGATATAAACAAATTTAGTCAGCGATTTGTGTACGAATTAATTGTGTTACAGTTTGGAAAGACTTTTGAAATAGTTTGTGAATGGGAAGCGAATGCTCAAGATTTGAGTATGTTGTGGCTAATCTATACGACAATCTACTACAGAAATCTATGCCAAAACGGAACATTTAAAATCCTAAACCAACTTTATAGATCCCTAAAGTCATTAAATATATTATTTAAATAGTTCTGCAACGTTTCGAAATCGGGTAAATGCACGTTCTATTGTATTTTAACCGTTTTCTTCAAATTCATAACCCAAATGCATATTCCAACACGACAGCCTTCTCTCGAAACAATTTTACAGGTCCATGAGGTCATTTAATATATTCTAAATTACCTAATTTAAGCGAAAACCCCCTTATTTCATGTCTAGTTTTTCTTGATTTTCCAACAAGATAGACCCGCTCAAATAGCTCCCAAATTGATCGCTCACTTCACAGTCTTGTAGTCTTGCAGTCTTGTAGTGCATGTTTTCCACGCATATCCATCCATCCATCCATCGCTCGGTGCGCGGAACTTGTTTGAAAGAATATTTAGATAAACACAGAAAAATACGCGTCTGGCGCATGTCCACTGTCAATCAATGCTGCACTCCAGAATAGAGCAACGGAGCAAGAGTGCAACGAACTCCGCACAGAGGAGGCTATGGCTATGGCTATGGCTATAGCTATAGCTATTGGGGGAAGGGGCACGCAAACGCACACACACAAATTAGATATAGAAGAGGCGGCGGTGTGTAGACAGCGACACCGCGAGAGACCTGACTAATTAACATGGCTGTGGGCATGGATGGTAGGGGGTGTGGGGGCACCGGCACTGGCTAGAAGTATATAAAAATGGAAAGACAATTGGGGATTTGCTAAAGCTTCTGTCTCGATATCATATCATATCCCCCCTGCTATCCGTTCATTGTATTATGGAGAACCTCTAAATAAGACAGACAGCTACGATACGGTCGTACGACGCTAACTCCGTTCCTAAATGAACACTTCCGCTCATTGGAGGGAGCCCATCGCGGCAGTGGTGGTAGTGGTAGTGGTCGTGGTCGTGGTCGTTGTCGCCGCGGCACCGCAGGCGTATTGAGCCATAAAGGCCAGCCATAAATGCAGCAACAAGACAGCGGGCCATACCATACTATACCATACCCAAGCATACCGTAAATTATGAGACTCGGGGATTGTACAGCCCACGCACCGTCCAAGCATAATAATAATAAAAGGTCTAACAACTAAATCGTACATTGGGTCATGGTTCGGCGATCCGATCCGATCCGATCCGATCGATACCATCTTTTGTGTCCACTTCATTCGTTTCATTCGTTGTTGTTGCCTTTTATTGCATCGATCGATCGATCGGTTGGAGAATTACTAGAAAGTTTTTCAGATACGAATGCAGCACTCCAGCACACTGTTCAACAGGGTTTTGGGTATGTTTTTCAGCTAGGAAAATTATCTAAAGGGTTTCCAAATAAATTCTTTATGTGTGTATAAGAAAATCTTACACGATTTGTGATGTTATACAATGATTGGTAAATATTCTTTAAAATCATGAAATGTAATTAAGGAATAACCCTTGTAATCGATTTTCTTTAGGAATTGATTTAACAGATCCTTCAAATGTTAGAATTATGAAAACTAATAAAGGATCGAGAGCTAGTTGTCCTCTTTTATACAAATCTCTCATAGTCTAATAATCAGAAAATGCTTTCAATGAAGCTTCCAAGATCATCGGAGATATAAATTTCAGCTCTGCTTTAGTTTCTGTTCCACAAGAAATTCTAAATGGATTTACATATTATCGGGTATCATTAAATTCCCTGATAAATTCGCATAAAATTGCCATTCAGGTCAGATCAAAATTCATGTTCCTTTCATATGTTAATTGGATCTCTTCTCTTGCAATTGGATCTCTTTTTTATCCCCAATGCTAACATTTTTTTTGCTGCTTAGTGTTGGTCCGTTCTTCATGCCGCTTCATACGATACCTTTTGACGCTTGACGCTGGCATCATAGTTTTTGTAGTTGGCGGCCAGCGCAGTGGCCCAAATGGCCGGCCATTGGAGGCCAATGTTTTGGGCATCGCGACGTCTGCGGTAGGAGCTCCGTAGGCTCGGAATGGGGGACTGGGGAGCACTGGCAGCAGCGGCTGCATACTTGGAGGCGGCCACAGCAGAACTGTTCCAGGGCGGACGGATGGATGCGGTTGGCGGAGAGGCTTCTGCCTTGCTGCGGAAGCTCCTTGAACGACTGGTGGCCCTCTCGAAGATCGGTGTAATTGGCAGCGGAGGGGTGGGAGTAGGAGTAGGAGCAGCAGCGGCAGCCGCTTCCTTGGCCTTGGTGACCGCCAGACGCGGCGGCTTGGGCGGTGGCACTGACCCTCCTCCCGTGGAGGACGAGGGCCAACTGTTGGAGTTCTCCGATCCGCTCTCACTGATCGTCTCCGAGCTGATGCTGTTCTTTCGCTGTGCCTTCGGAGTGGCTTTCGCGGAGGGCTTGCTGGGTGCTGGTACTTTCTGGACTCCGGATTTGTTGGTGCCACAGGCATGCGCCTTGCCCGTGCAGCCCTTGTGGAAGGAGGGATTCAGTCCGGAACCGGGTGCTGCCGGCACGGCAGGCACAATGCCGCCCCGCAGCGTCTGCTCAAAGCTCTTGGGCTTGAGGAACATGGCTAATGCTAATCTTCTGTCTCTTCTGTTACGTGATCACTGTTTGTCCACACCGACAATTGTCATGGCCAGCAGCTGTGGCAGCAACAACAGCAGCAGCACTTGGAGCATGACCAGAGCGTAGGACAGAGCAGATCTCTGAGCAAATCTGAGATCTCCGGACCGAAGCGGGACAATGGCAGCAGCAGGGAAGTGAATGAGAAATTGGAGCGCGCGTTGAAAACCTTGGAAATGTTTGCTTTTGTGGCTATCGGAGCACTTAGCGCTGCTTTGACATTAGACACAATTACTGCCTGCTGACTGTTGCCTCAAAATGGCCAATCATCGATCAGTCGGACGATCGGATAGGTCTTTGAGTATCGGTTTATGCTGTTTTGCTGTTTCTTTTCTGTGTGTTGTGTTGTGTTGTGTTGATTGATTGATTGCACTGCACAAGACTCCAGTCACGAAATCGTCTGGGAGTACAAATTATGAATTAAAGCCAAACTCGAATGACAGCCAGAATAATCGTCACGGCATAGAAAACATTAAAATCAACTTCGGGCACAGTACTCCGCCACTCCGCCACTCTGCCACTCGAACAACAACAAATTTCACTGTGGGTGTATGGTGGAGCCGTCGCGTCGCTTCGTCTCGCGGTATTTTGTTTTTGTTTCTTCTCGATCTCCCGTCGTCTACCGAACCTGGTCAAAGTTTTCAGCGTACTGACGGCACGGCCCTGCTCCCAAGCAAAGCAGCAAGCCCCATCGAGCCGACCGACCAACAACAACAACAACAACAAACAGAAAACAAGTCAGAATAATGAAGGTGATGTATGGACCTAGGGGCTACCCAAGAAACCCAAAGAATGTGTGTTTTGTTGATAGATTCTGGGGACCGCCATTATATGGATCGATGGATGTTCACAAATTACCGATTTATTCGACTCTTCTAGAGATCTATTAGAAAAAGAAAAGCGAAAATGTATATTTAAAGACCCTTCCTTTTGCCTATCCCAGAACCCAATATACCCTGCGTACGCTGGGTACCAAAAGACACACAGTCAGACGCAGGCAGAGGCGAAGCCTGCGTTGACGTCGCTGCTGCTGCTATTTGTGTAGGCCGCCGCCGCCGCCGACGTTCCAAGTGGGTGTAGAAATGCACACACAGCTGCAGTCTCCCGAAGTTGCAGTCGCTGTCAACGCTGGCAGCGCCGCCCTGGCTGCTTGTTGCCCAAGGTATATCAACAGGAAGGAAAGAGCTCCGACATTGAATGCAAGCGAGAGAAGGAGAGAGGGGAGCATGTCTCCCCCAAGAGCGGAAGCACCCCACCTTATATGCTATATGCCCTGCCATATTCGTGCTATGTCCCCAGGCGTACTACTGGGCTGCACGAGGGATCGCTGCTGCTGCTGCTGCCATCTGAAAGACGCTTTGAAGAGTGGGCTGGCTGGCTGCTGCTGCTGCTGTTGGCATGTTGCATGGATGAATGCTAAAACGCATACCCAATGCAGTTCGAGTTTTTCCACAGTGTTGCCAAATCGGTTTATTTCTGTAGCCGCAGTCTGCGCCTCCGACTTCTTCTTGAATGGATGGTAAGAGAATGAGTAAGGCGCTGAAATATGTCAACGCCTTAGAGGCCCGGCCCAACCCAGCACACCGCCACAGATCCACTACGAAAATATTTATAGAAAGGGACTAGCCCCCGCCGAACAGACTGGAGAATAGCAACAGATACAGATACAATACAGATATGTAGATAGATAGATGGATGGCTGGATAGATCGACGGGGAGGCGGGACACCCAACAACTGTCAGTTTCACAATATTTGTGCGAAAACTACGGAGTAAACACGGCGAGAAAATGTCAAACACGTTTCCAGGCATAGTCAACAAGTCAATAAGAATTGCATCCACATCCACAGGGTGGCTGAGTGAGTGGCAGGGATGGGTATATGACAATGAAGGGATACCCTTTTGGGGTATTGGATTCCAGAATAAGATAGGTTCCATTTCGAAAGAACATCAACAGTAATTTATAAAAGCTATTAATCTAGGGTAAGTAAGCGATTAAAGGGGAAGAAAAGATAATTCGATTATAGACCTAGCTCAATAAGAGGTCCCTATAATAGCCTATCGTTTTTGCTAAAAGGCACACCTTTTGATGCATATTCAGTGCAATACCTGGAAAACGGAAATACAAATACCACATCTTATTGTCACAAATGTAATATGAAAACGTATTCCTAGTTGGAGACTACCTGCACTATCTGATTGGGGAACTACTACTCATGACTAACTTCCTTAACACCATTCAACAGCTAAAACATTAGCACATTCCTTGGAACTAATGAATCACATGATTGCATACCTGAATATTTTTGAATTACAATTGGAGATGGAATTCAAAAAGAATACTTATAAAAACTCTATCGAAAGAGAAGCCATAAAGAATATTTGAATCCCTATTGGGAATGGAGAGACCAAACAAAAAGCGAATAGTTTTGTTCGGTTCTCAATATCTCTAATGTTTCTCCCCACTCGTTTTAATCAATCACAGCCGCCCCATGAATACTAGTCGTACTAATGGGCAGTGTCGTTATGGAATTAATGTGTGGAGGGGCTCGGTTCGGTTCATTGCAATGCTGCTGGGATGGCGATAGCGATGCCGATGTCGCTGGCTCCATCAATCATTGATCTCTGCTAACGATCGAGTGCCCGAGACTCACCTGACGCTTGAATCGCTTGCTGGCACTGCGCCGGAGGGTGTTGCAGTTGCCGTTGGTAATGGAATGATCGATCTCCTCCACGGTGGCCGTAATGGGTGCCATGCATCGCTTGCTCAGCTCCACCAATTCGGCCACAGGCTGCACCTGGAGATGGGCAGACGCATTAGATGGCTACTTAAGAAGGAAAGATGGTACTTACCTCAACGGTGACAGCGTCGCCGCTGTTCCTGATCATCTCGATGATAATCTCTCTGGACAAGTCGCCCACGGGCGTACCATTCACTTTGATAAGACGATCGCCTGGCAGCAGACCCGTGGCGCCGCCTCCAGCACCGGGCTCGGCGAAGATCACCGGCCGAAAGATGGGCGACGTCAGCGACTCGGTGCGGTCCAGGCAGATGGCCTTGCGCAGGCTGAAACCAAAATCCTGGCGCGGCGACTTCTGCCGTCGAATGACCAGCTGGCGGGGCGGTGGCAGATGCACCAGCTGCACTGGGGGAAGGGGCAGCAGAACATCCTCGAAGGCATGCACCCGGGCCCAGCGATCGATGCCCTGCGACTCGCCAATGGGACTCAGCGAGAAGGGGGGCGTGGCGAACGAGGAGTTTGTGGTATCTGTGAGACTGTCGGCGCTGGGCGACGGCGATGTTAGCACATGGAGCTGCGGCACCTGCGGAGGCGCTCCGTAGCGGGCATTGGCCGGTAGGGTCATAGCTCGCTGCTGATGCGGTTGATCGCCGTCGCTACGCAGGCTCTCGACGGAGGTGAAGGAGGTACCGTGCTGACTGGAATTGGAGCCAATCGAACCGGCTGCTCCGCGTGCCGCTCCCTCGTACAGCAGCTCGTTCTGGATGGTGTTGCGCATCAGCATTTCTGGTGTGCCACCACCAGTGGTGACTCCACCTCCGCCGCTGCCGCCGCCCGCTGGGAACGTGAGCTCCTCGTGCACATTGGTCATGTTGCTGCGGGAACCCTTCAGAATGCCACGCTTTGGCGGCTTTGGTGGCACAGGCGGCAGAAAGCGGTTCTAGAGGAAGGATAAGTCATCAATTAGGACTGAAATCTTCAGCTGTACTCCACTGGACTCACCTTTAGGCCACCGGCAAGCAGGGAATGTGTGACCTCGCTGTAGTTGACACTGACCCCAGCGCCGTTGGACGAGCGACTCTCGATATGCGTCATCACAGATGCTACAATTTCCTCATTGCCACGATCTTGCTCCGATCCGCCAGCAGTTCCAGGAGCTGCTGCTGTTGCGCTCCTGTTGGCCACTGCATCTGCATTCAGGGCCGCAAAGAAATCCGCACTGTAGTCCGCTGTGATGCCGCTGGGCAGCTTCTCCTTCTCCTTGCGCCGGCCACGGATCTTCAGGGAGCGACGCACCTCGTCAAGCCGCAGCAGCTCGTCGGTGCTCATGCTGCCGGTGACGCCACCAATGCCGATGCCGCCACCGTTGGTGCCTCCGCCGATCCCTTTAGCCTCTTTGCGGAGTTTCTTTTCGCGCTTGCGGCGCTCCTTCTCCTCGTCGCCGGCGCTCTTCTTCATGAAGTTGAACATCTTCTGTGGTTGTGTGGGTGGTTGGGTGTGGGTGCGAGAGGTCCTTAGGTTCTAGCTGTGGGATAGGGATAACGATAGGGTTAAGAATGTTCAATGTGTATAAGTTCAAGGGCGTGCCCAAGGTATATTCAATTGGAAGGTAAGTAAGCCGGCCGGAGAGAGTGAGAGACAGCTGCACTGCCCTACCTTCTTTTCAATATACTTGTCATGCCCCGTTAGTCTGAACTAATTTGATTTGCATTTTTCTCTGCTGTCTGCTCTACTCTCAGTCCCTCCCACTCTTTCGCTTGCGGTTTGCGTTTTTAGTTTTCTCACACTCTCTCTATCGCACTCGCACTCTCGCCAAGAAACCCTGCGAGCAATGCACCCACCCGCCTGCACAAACAACAGTTATCTTCTGCCAGCCAGACTGCATTCGTATATATGTGCATGTGTTCGTGTCTGTGTGTTTGTTTGTGTATTTGCAAAATCACATAAACAATGGCATATTTTTCGTTGATATTGCATTTTCGCTTTGCTTCTGGCTTTGCTTTGTCATTGAGTTTGTTGCCCGTTTGCCCTGTTTTTGTTATTAGTTATTCAATTATGCGCTTTCTTTTTTCCATATTTATTCCATGATTTTGTTTTGTTTTCTCATACACGAGCACGCACACACACACAAACACCACACTCACTCACTTTAAGGGGGGCTGGGCATTGGTATTGATTGCCCCAGAGACTCGTCTCGCTCTCATTTGATTTATGTTTTCCACTAATTTAATGCAGAAACTCTTCTAATTACTGATACAATCTGCATGTTCTCTCTTTTTGATCACCCCACGCCCCAACCAGAAGCAAAAGCGCAGAAAAGAAAGTCACGGGAGTCAATAACACCTTTGTTTTTGCAGTTTTTCTACGTCTTTTTTTATGATAACACCAATGCACACACACTTATTCGCCAAGGCATTCACTCACACGGGCACAACCATATGCATGATTCCTTCTATTCAGAAACAGCAGTGGCTCCTTTAATGGATAGTTGATTTGTTTTTAATCTAATATTTTAATTTAATTTAATTTAAAAGTCTACTTCTATACAAAATTTCACCGATCCGACCGATGATGGCGATAACAACAGGCTATCGATAGTCGGTGTGGTGAGACAACTGACGATAGTTGCATTGCGAAGATGGTCACACTATTTATAGCGTGATGTCAAGTTACTTTTACATGTAATCTACATGTAGAAATTGGATTCAAATAAATGCCGTTTCGAAGAGGTGACGATATATTTCCGACGGTGGAACGGTATATTTCGATTACGGATGTGTTTCTCACATTATATTTTATAAAAGCATGAAACGGTCGACCGGGAAATTTGTATGCATTTTTTCACCAAAATTGTATGGTCACTCTGTCTGTAGTAACCCCCATGTAGCAAATGTAGCGACATTTAGTATTTTTTCAAAGTTCTGCAACATTAGTGAAAATGTCAGCAACATTTGGTAAATTTTGTCAGTTTGGTTTAAAATACTCAGAAATACTACAAAAAAAGTATACAAATATGCAGGGTGTGTGACCTTAACAAATAATCTGTGTGTTTTTTCCATACAAAAGCAATATGTAACTGTAACTATGACTTGACTCTTGACCGTTTTTTGTTTAAACCTCATTTTAGGAATAATCCAATACAGATGAGTACTTCCACCGAATATCAAAAACGAGGAATATGTAAAATATATCATGAATTCGTCAGTATATTTACGATATATTTTTAAAATTAAACGGTATATTTCTGAGGGTCGGACGGTATATCTGACACGCGTCCACACTAATCCTGAAAAAAAGTGAAGCGTAAAAAACCAAAATTTTGACGTTTTAACGCTGTGTGCGTGTGTTTATGGAAAATAAGTTTTCGACATTATATTATGTGCAGCAAAGCCGTGGGAATCGAAATACGTTTACTAATTGGCACGCGCGTGGCGATCTCGCAGTGAATTTAGTGTGATTTCTGTGTGTGGCGGCCGCCTTGCCTTGTTTCCGTCCTGGTCGCACGCACAATATAAGCGACGTTGTCGCGCTGCGTCACCGTCAGCAGTGTGTGCTCTGCCCAAAAACAGAGGTCGGTATAAAAAAAGGAGAATTGTTTTTAGTTTTTTCATCAATGATTTGTGTTTGTGGTGGTGGATGGATGTGGATGGAGGGGAAGCGGCAGCAGAGCAGCAACATTTATGCCAAATTCCAATAAACAGCCGTGGCCTTTGTTATGTGTGTTCGTGTGTGTGTATGTTACAGACATCAATGCAAATACATATGTGTATGTATGTTTGTGTGCATGTGTACCCCCCACACACCTCTTAATTCACCATAATTATAGTGTTTGAAAGTGGGAAGGGGGTGGGTGCCTGGACAGCGCCATATCGATGGAAAAATAAGTAACGCAACGGCGAAGGATCCAGCGGAAAAAGGATGCTGTGTTAATTAATGTCAATTAGCTCCAATTCAGGATGAATTTATGATTCCCGTTCATATGTGGAATATCCATTACGAATCGGTATCAAATGTCTTTCCATCTGCAGCTCTTAAAAGAGAAATATTAATAGCAACTTTTTTCCACCCAACATAGAATCTACTGCCCCCACAGTGCCCTGACCCATCGGATTCTCTATCAGTGATTATGATTACTAGTCCCCCTGTCAGAAGTGGACCCAACGTAATTTAGAGAGTAGATCTTAACGGAAGACGATTACTTTCCAAATCATATTTACAATTGTTGTCTCGAGTACCTTTAGACGATAAATCAGATTCAGATTGCTTAAGGATCCCTCAATACCCTGTGAAAATACACTTGTAGGGTATTCCTCTTTCAATTGGATCGAATCTTAAGTCTCACCTACACACACACGCGCACAAACAATACATTTGTACATTTCCAAGAAATCTGCATTCTCATACACCCTCCCCCGGCCCCTGTGTGCTGCGATGGTAATCTAATGTACAATTTGATAACTGTATTCGTGTCTAGACATGTTGCGCTGCTTGATCACTTGCTGCACCCCCTGCCCCTGCCCCTCCCTTCCACTGTCTGGCCGGCCTCGCACTTTGCAACACACTCATGCATCAGTATGTGTGTGGCGATGTGTGGTTTGTGCATTTTGTCGATTTTTATTTTATGTACATTTGTTGTTTACAGTTTTAGATAGCGAAAATTTGTACAGCCGGCAGCGACAGCAGCAGCAGCAGCGGCGGCGGCCATCCATCCCTCCGTTTGTCTGTCTGTCACTCGCCCTGTCCCTGTGCCCGCCCCTCTGTTCGCGCCCCCCTCCCTTCGACGATGACATTTTCGCAAATTGTAAATGAATATGCTTTTGCACTTGTGTGCGTGTGTGAGTGAGTGCGTACGGTACGTGTGTGTGCTTACGTTTGTAAGTGTGTGTAAGTTCATGAACAGCACTTCGCAGTCGCAGTCGTCGTAAGAATACCCTTTAAAGTGAAAGTACGATGTGTTTAGGAGATGTTTGGCATGTTTTGTGGTTAAGATTCCAAAAACGATTCGGTGTGGGCATACCTTTTAGGGTTTTTAGGGTATGGAAGATACCTAAATACCTCGGCTTAGTATATCCCACATCTGCCATAAGAACGATCACTTTTCGAGGGTATTCGATGGTTCGACCCCTTGGAAGCATAGCCTTCCCTTCTTGTTTTGATTTAATTTCGCGGTAAATGCAATCGCGAACAATTTTTTGCTCGGTGCTCAGTACTCGGTACTCGCGGTACTCGCGGTACTGGCGGTATCGCTGCGTAACATGTCGGGGAATTTCGTTTGAAGACTCAACGTACCAGCACCAGCAGCAACAGCAACAGCAACAGAAACAGAAACAACAGCAACAATTGCGACAAACCCAATCGCGACGCCAATGCTGGCGCCTACAGCCACAGCAAGAGCCACTCGATGTGCCCCTGCCCCTCCGTGCCCCCAGGGCACCAAAAGCCACATCTGCATGTGGGGCAATGACTAAGAGGCGGCCCGCAAATCCCTTTGGGAGCGGAAATGCCGTAGATATTTTGCACGATCCAATCCAATACATTTGTTGTGTTGCTTTTGTTGTTATTTTTTGCCATTTTTTTTGGTTCGTCAAACCAGCTGCAGTTGTTGCAGCTGCTGACGCAAGCGCCAGCAACAACAATTTGCGGATTTTGCCATAAACATGCAAAATGACAATAACAATTGTTTTGTACACATGCCCCCTCCCCCCGCTCCGATGATCCGTGGTAATGATGGATCCCAGAGGCGGTGTGTGACATGGGGGGTGGGGTGGCTGAGGGGCGTGACAATCGGTATAAGTGTGCGATAAGCGTTTGGGTACGGGAGGGGTAGACCTCGATAGCTTGGCTGGCTCCCCCTTTCTGCCTGCCTGCTGCACTAAAGAGTACGATAGTGTTGTCGCTCTTTGGAGTGCATTTAAGGGAGTCACTGATAGCGAGACTCCGTTGCAGTTGAACTGTTGTTTGTTTGCTAATCTCTAGCGAGTAACTCCCCGCTCCAACGAGTGTTGTATCGCTTTAACGAGTTGTCTCTTTACTATTTTCAGCCCCAAAAGGATATTCTTTGATTTTCGCTCGCGTTTCGGAACAGCCTCAACACGAATTACCTACCATTTGCCCTACAGAGGCGATTGACTGTGGTTGCCAGCGCCGCTGCAACAGGATCAGCCTCCTCCTCGTCCACGTCCACGCCCTCGCCAGGCCACCAGTTGGACCTTAATTCGGCTAACAACAACGGCAGCAACAACAGCAGCAGCCTAGACAACATCTCGAGGATACAACCATCCTGGCTAGACGGGAGTCAGCAGCAGCAGCACCACCACCCCCACCAGCAGCAGAAGAACCATCCGCAGCAACAGGGTTTAGCCACGGACGGCAGCATGTCGATGAGCGTCACCTTTGGCACCCCCAACACACCCAACATGAGCATGGATCTGGCGGCACGCCCCACAGTGGTCAAGGAGGGCTGGCTGATGAAGCGGGGAGAGCACATTAAGACCTGGCGTCAGCGCTACTTTGTGCTCCGCTCCGACGGCAGTCTGATGGGATACCGCAGCAAGCCGGCGGACAGTGCCGTCATGCAGCCGTCGGAGCAGCTGTTGAACAACTTCACGGTGCGCGGGTGTCAGATCATGAGCGTGGACAGGCCCAAGCCCTTCACATTCATCATACGCGGCCTGCAATGGACAACGGTGATCGAGCGGACCTTTGCCGTCGATACGGAAATGGAGCGCCAGCAGTGGACCGAGGCCATACGCAACGTGTCCAGTCGCCTCAGCGAAATGGGAGAGATGGCCATGTCGCCGTCTGTGCAGACAGACATGGCCGACGTGGACATGGCCGGCATCGCCGAGGTGGAGCTCTCCGAGCAGTTCTCAAGGCAGGGCACCACCTGCAACAGCAGCGGAGTCAAGAAAGTGGTACGTATTCGATTTGATCCGTTTATCCGTTGAGTGCGTGATTGAAACGAAAACCCTTATCTCTCGTTGCAGACTTTGGAGAACTTTGAGTTCCTCAAGGTGCTCGGCAAGGGCACCTTCGGCAAGGTGATCCTGTGCCGCGAGAAGGCCACCGCCAAGCTCTATGCGATCAAGATTCTCAAGAAGGAGGTCATCATCCAGAAGGATGAGGTGGAGCACACACTCACCGAGAGTCGTGTGCTCAAGACCACCAATCATCCGTTTCTTATTGTGAGTAACATTCAGGGAGGTTGTTCGAGGTTTCCTTTAATATATCATCCGTCTCCTTTCGTTGCAGTCTCTTAAATATTCATTTCAAACCAACGATCGGCTGTGCTTTGTCATGCAGTACGTGAACGGCGGAGAGCTCTTCTGGCATTTGAGCCACGAGCGCATCTTCACCGAGGACCGGACACGTTTCTACGGAGCCGAGATCATCTCGGCCTTGGGCTATCTCCACTCGCAAGGCATCATCTATCGCGACTTGAAGCTGGAGAATCTTTTGCTGGACAAAGATGGCCACATCAAGGTCGCCGATTTCGGCCTGTGCAAGGAGGACATCACCTACGGCCGCACAACGAAAACATTTTGCGGCACACCCGAATATCTGGCTCCGGAAGTATTAGACGATACTGATTATGGACAGGCGGTGGATTGGTGGGGCACAGGCGTTGTCATGTATGAAATGGTGTGTGCAGCTACTTACATCTTTTTTGTGGATATTTATCAACCATCGTTTCTTTTGTAGATCTGCGGTCGCCTGCCGTTTTACAATCGCGACCACGATGTGCTCTTTACATTGATATTGGCAGAAGAGGTGAAGTTCCCTCGCAATATCACAGACGAGGCGAAAAACCTGCTGTCCGGGCTGCTGGCCAAGGACCCGAAGAAGCGTCTGGGCGGCGGGCAGGATGATGTCAAGGCAATACAGGATCATCCCTTTTTTGCGAGTATTAATTGGACAGATCTGGTGCTAAAAAAGGTTGGAAATAAACCTTAGAACTTGGGGATATATATATATATATTATGTAAAATGAATGTGAAGCTATAATTGTTTTGCTCTTTATGTTCAGATACCGCCGCCTTTTAAGCCTCAGGTTACATCGGATACGGATACGCGTTACTTTGACAAGGAGTTTACTGGAGAGAGCGTGGAGTTGACGCCGCCGGATCCCACTGGACCGCTGGGCTCCATAGCCGAAGAGCCGCTTTTCCCGCAGGTACGTGCGATATCTCTTGGACTTCCCGGATTCCCGTTTTGCTAATCTCTCTTTATATTCACCTTGCAGTTCAGCTACCAGGGAGATATGGCCACTACACTGGGCACCTCGTCGCACATTAGTACTTCCACAAGTCTCGCATCGATGCAATAGAACAACGTCAACGACGACAACAACAGGAGTTAATCAACAACGTAACGTAATGTAATGTGACGTAGAGTAACGTTCTTACAAGCACACAACCCCCACAACCACACATCATGTTCTGCTTTCATCACCTCACCCTATAAAACTATATCCCTATATACCTATAGCATATAGAAATGGGCAAAATGAGAAACACGCAAAACAAAACAAAATAAAACAAGAAAATATTAAATAATAATACAAATTATGTAATACATACACTCACACACACACACACAAGATAAAGGCAAAGGGGGCAAAGGAGGTTTGTTCTCGCTACACAAATTAATAAGGGATTTCAATTGATAGTAACTTATTTTTGCATTCATAATACAATGAAAAGGGAAGGCAGAGATCGTAGACCGTCGAGGCAGAGAGGAAATAATTTACCACATATGATTATACATATACATATATCTATATATATCTATATACATACTTATACATACATGCATCTAATAATATAACACTTGGGGGGGCGGGGGCCTGCCGCCATCGGGGGTCTGGAGTGATTAGTTAATTAGTTACGACAACCACAACAACAACAACAACAACCATTTATTAAGCAAAAAACTGAAAGCCACAACACACACACACACCAGGAGACAGCAGACAGACACAGACATAGACACACTTATAGGATATAGCGAACATGAACGTTAAGGCAACAACAAATCGAAATACACACCAACACTCTACATACATGCATATATACACACTCGTATCGTATCTATACATTATTTATACTCCAAAGAAGAAAAACCACACACACAACAATTACGAGTACTATATATAATGTTAAAAATTGCCTCTAAAGTGCTGTGCTTCATGCAAAAAACAAAAACCCCACAACAAAACACAGAACAGAAACGAAATGGATAAGGATATAAATCAATGGAAATGGAAATGGAAAAATTGCAGTTTGAAAGGCGCCAAACATTTCAACAATAATTACAACAATTGACGCCATTTTTTTATTATAATTTTTTTTTTACCACAACAAAATATATTTGTACATATTTATATAAAAAAAAGCAACGTAAAAAGAAAAAAACCCTTTAAAAAAAATTACACAAAAGTGAAAAGTGTCGCGTGGACAAATGGTTTAACCTTTGACACCCCCAAACAAAAATATATACTTGTATAATTCAAAACATGTCATTTAATTTTTGGCATTGCAAAAAGTTCATAAAGAAAACGTTTTGTATTTGTAGAGCAATTCAGGCGAAAAAACAAAAACAAAAAAGAAAGATGAAAATCAACCACAACAACAGACTTACACATAGTTCCACGAGGAAAACTAAAAGAAAGATGATATATAAAAAGAAAAAAATCTAAAAAATAAAGAGAATTTTTGATATTTTTATATGCGCAATAAAACTAAAAAAAAAAAACGAAAAAAAAGAAAAAATTATTTTATATTTCGAAAAGAAACAAAAAAAAAATTATAAAAAGCAAAGAATATTTTGTAAATAAAAAAAAAGAAATTCGGGCATTTCAAACAGAAACCAATACAACAACAACAACAACAAAATGAAAGCATAATCTCTCTTCTATAGCGTGTTAATGAAAACCCTATCCTATCAATCGATGCAAACAATAACCAAGAAAACAGAAAACGAAATGAAGCGAAAATGAAACGATATGATGCCAAAGAAGCGGCAGAGTTATAGAAGGGAACTCGTAGAGTGGATAAACCCATAGGTCGGACAGAGCCCAGTCTTGTGTTAGGACTTGTGATGATGATGATTCCGAAAGGCAGTAGGAGAACAGAGAGATATCAGATATACATACATACCCATATGTATCCAGAGGAGGCAACAACAGCTTGGCGCTTTTGGCCCGACATCTAGGCTAGCCAATATCAATCTCAGATCGATCAAGCAATACATAGACACAATATAGAACCCTCATAAGCATGGCTTACTAGACATACAACCCCAAGAAAACGACTCGTCGTCACTGACTCTTCGACCCCAGCCCCATAACCAACAATGGATGGGGATCAACTGAAATATAAAGATATTGAACCATCTATCTTTAGTGTATCCCATAACCGAATCGAAGCAAAGCATTTCCCCGAACCGTACAGGCCTGGTGGGTGGGGTGGTGAGGGGAGGGGAGGAAAATAATCTATAGAAATAGTTGACTAAGTTTACTGATTTTTGTAAGAGAATTTTTTGATTTCGATTTATCAACAAAAAACACACACGAACTGCAAAAACTACAATGTGTTCTGAACGAAGAAGATGGTAGAAGGAAAAACATGGTTTGAAAACTTGACTATATATGTATATGTTTAGGGAGATGTATCCAGTCAGATCTTAGATCAAGTCGAGCAACTTGAGTTGTATTTTGTATTGTAAAGAGAGAGAAAGAGAGAGAGAGAGAGGAGAGAGATGAGATGAGATGAGCAAGAGACATAGAGAGAGAGTGGAGAAATACCCCAAATACCCAAAACCCAAAACCCAATCCCGAACCCAAAATATAACCGAAATATTGATTAGGTGTAATTTTTGATAGGCGAATTCTTGCAGAGTTCGCACAGTTTTAAATACTAATAATAATAATAGTAATATTACTAAATAAAGATAATAACTAAGCTGATTTATTGAAAACACGATTCAAGATCGCAAACTAAATATATTATATACATTATATATTATATATTGAAGAGGACTAACGACAGCATCAACTGAGCAGCAACCATGTAGATAATGTACGATCTGCAGAGTACTATAATGATAACGATTAATTTATACGCGCTTACGCATACCAACATGCATACATTACGAGAATATATATATATACAAGATATATATCTACGATATAAGGTGTGTATGTATATTATACATGCATTCAAAACCAAGTTTATTATACAGTGAAAAACATTATAATAATAAAAATACATAAAACCAAAAGGGGCCACGACCTAATTTTTATCTCAGGTACAAAAAATGTTAGCTACTCCAGAATTATGGCAATACCTCAACAAATCTAACAACACCTGAAAGATTATAAAACTATTCTGCTATAATTTCTAGAGAATTTTCCTTAGAAAATCCACGGAAACCTCCCATCTAACCAGCCATAGCCAGCTCCTCTCCATGGCGAAATTGGGTCAAGAAAACTATGCGAAAAGAGGGAGCAGCAGTGTCCAGAGGTCCGGCAGAAGGAAAAACTCACTGGACAAGCGCCAATGACCGACTTAAATATTCGGGAACAGCAGCTGGAGCAGGCCACCTCCTCCTGCTCCTCTTACCCTCCAAGTGCGTGTCAGGCCACAGTCCCGGTCCCAGTCGCAGTCGCAGTCCCAGCTCCAGCCGCAGTCATGGGATGTGGAGAACGCGAACAATGCGTTTTGTTCGATGATTAATTGCAACGCAATCTTGGAGGCCACGAGAGTCGCGAATCCGCGCTGCTTGGAGGCCGACGCGCTGTCAGCTTTCCCCCAGCCAATAGTACGCCGCATGTACTCGCCCCTGAGCATGATATATAGACAGAATGTGTGTCGCGTATTAACCGAGACACCAAGCTATTAATTTTTAGCAACAAAACACACCGATTCGTAATTAAATGCAACGAAAGCGAAAGTGAATCTGAGTCTGAACTTGCGATGGGTTTTCGGGTGTGGTGGGCCTTTTTCGAGTGCGAGTCGTAAGATCTGGGTTGGGTTGCATCCTTAAGCTAATTTTGCGGTGGCTTATGACAGCAGCCGCAGCAGCAGCAGCAGCATCGATGGTGTGCCGAGCCCTAAGTGCTTAGGAAAAGTGCGATTTGTACTTTCCCTTTTCGATGCGATGCTTATGCTGATGCTCTGAGCTGACGGATAAGACGACGACGACGACGACAAATGAAATTGCAAACACCAAATCCAAATGAAAGCCCCCAGGTATTGGTTAGAGGCGAACAGCGAATGTTAGATGCTCTTGGGGATAGATTTTTGGTTGAGAAAAGGGAAATGTAATCTGTATTTTCTTGGAATTTGGTATGGGTTCAATGGAAGAACGAATCAAATGGCCAAAAAGATGTGGTGTGATTATATGATCGTCTCGCTGTCGTGTGTACTCGTTTGATACACACTTGAGTGGACAAATCTTAAGAGCGATGCCTGTCGGAAGTTCTCTAACGAAGTATCTACAGATATATGAATCTTTGGTGGGTTTGAAGTATCTGTCTATCTTCGGTTGATCTTTGTAATGTTTCGCGATATACCCTTTACTCTCATCACTCTTTAGGGAAGTGCGGCTCTGCTCGGCTCGTTTGCTTTGTTCGCTACGCGCGTTTTCGCGCTTTTCATTTGCCAAGCAGCGATTTTACTATTTTCACCTCTGGCAAAAGCCAACCGAAGCACTGGGCTGCTGCTCTGTGGCTTTATAGTAATGTGAAAATTTCTGAAAACTAGAAAACTAACAAACAACTATTTGCTGCAGCGGCAGGGGCATCGTGAGTATGTGCTGGCACTTAACAACTCCATGGCTAACTCCGCGGCCACTCGGACTCGGAGCAGAGCAGAGAGGAGCAGAAGAGTCTAGGAAAACAGCAGAAGAAAAGTGAAATACATCAAGGCACGTCACATCCATCAGACATTTATGAGCAGCACGAGAGCACGCCCCATCTCCCAGCCGCAGACCAAAGACCCAGACCCAGACGAGACGAGACGAGATCGGAGCAGGTCTTAGACCAAAGACGAGGTCCACCAAAAACAGGCTTCCTTTCGGACTCTACACTGAAGACCAGACCGGGCCAGACCCGGCCCCGGCTCCGGCCCGGCCCAAAAGCCCAGCCAAAGCGTGGCTAATGAATTGGAATTGTTTAAAGAGCAGGAGCGGAATGGGGGACTGCTTGACAGAGAGGCCTTGGTCTAAGTGTCGTCGTCTTGCTGCAATCGAAATTAATGAAAAACTTTCGTTTATTTAATTGCACAGAGGCCTAGACCCAATGCCTGCTGCCTGGTGCCTGGTGCTAGAAGCAGCCAGAGGGGCTACAGCTGGGGCTGGGACGAGGTTCGGGCTGCTGCTGCTGCTGCTGCAGACACGTCTCAGTCTTTATGGGTTATGACCATATGAGATCCATAGGGCAACACACATCACACAACACACAATCCAGCATTCAAGAGTCGAACATCCATCGATGACTCTGACTCGGACATCGACAGCGGCATTTGAGTGAAAATGA